GTCAAATTATTCGAGATTTACATTAAAAAAGTCGCGTTCAAGAAATAATTTATCTTAGTTCAAGCGACTTGCGCTAGAGCCATCTTTGGAAAAAAGGTTCAGCTTAAAAAAAATGGTGCAATATCGAACTCTTTTAAACATCCGGAACTATTTATTATCTGACATGGTTTTTTAAACTAGCTAGAACCCTCGATGGTTTATTAATAAACGAATGAAACCTTAAAAGGTTCCGTATCTTCGCTAGAACCATAAATGGCTCCATATGACACCTTTTTTTTAAAGAGAGTAGGTTACTTGATCAGTAAAAAAAGACCTCGTTTTGACGTCTGTGAATCTAACGTAGGACATCAGTTGCCATAACGCATTTAACTGTAGTCGAGTTTTTATTTATTGTCTTATATTGGACGTTTTGTTATTGTGAGCATATCTAATAACACTCATACCAAAACAGCAAGTTCTATTATTTTGAACGTAGGTTTTCTATGACACAACCAAGTCGATGACGATTATCATATGCTTCCATTTCTTCCAAGTGTCCATGAGCTAAGTCGATTAGTCGATCAATAGTTGTGTCTTGTTTATCATCAAGTTCAATAGGATTTTCGAGCCATATTTGCCATCGATAGTAGTTGTCACCCAGAACAGAATTAAGATGAAGATCTATATTATTCTGAGGACCATCCATCAATATTTTAAATACAGATTGATGGTTTCTCGCCCAGAATAGGAGATTTCGATTGGCTTCGGGGTTGAGTGGATCAGAAACAAAGTCACCAGTACCCAAGGATAAAATACGAATACGATTTCTATCACAATTTCGATAAGAATTTAAAGTGTGGTCATAAGCAATCATTGCCGGATTATTGGCTTGTACGCCACCGTCGACATAGACAGTACTGTTGAACCGGTAGGCCGGAAAGTAAGTCGGTGCAGCCGTGGTACACATGAGTACATCTGTGAGACGAAAGTTGTTTGTTGGATCCTGTTTACTAGCGCGTCGTGTAAATTGGTCGGTAACGTTTCCTTCATTTTTTACGGCAGGTATAATGAGTTCACTCATAGAATCCGACAATGTTGCGTCGCCAAAATACTCTTGGAATAACGCTTGACGACCAGTATCCATATATTTGGGCTCTTTCAAAAAAGAAGTTCGAAGGCGACTGATAGTGCTTTGATCCCCAGAGAATACTCTACTTGCTTTTGACCGATAAAGTTCAACTAGGTCAAATGCTTGATAACGCGGCATGGTTTTATTGTCCAGTGAAGGCGTCGTAAGTCCTGCAGCAATAATCGCACCTGTTGATGTGCCAGCGACAATATTGAATATCGACGATATTGGCTGTCGAATCTTACGTTCAAGTTCCATCAACCAAATAGCAGGAATAATTCCTCGAATTCCACCACCATCAATCGATAAAATGTTGTACCATGGTTGTTGTTCATCAAGACTTGATGAGCGACAATTAAAATCTAGTCGCTTAGTGACGTTTATCCGCTCGTATTTCATTTTGATTGCTTTTTCTTCTCGTTTAATATCGATATCGAGTGAGTGTAGATCAAGAGCTTTTTGAATGCCGTACTTTGCTGCATCGTAATCTCCAATATTTCGTTGTGCTTGGGCATATATCAACCATAGATCAGCTGACGAAATACGATTGCGAGCGCTTAAGCGTTCATTAATTCGTGAATATCGATGTTGTTTAAGTAAGCATTTACAATAGCCTGTTTCAGCTAAATCCAAATCCTGTTTTGCTGCAGTTTCTTTCATACTAAGAATATCAGTATAATAATTTTGCGCTTTTTGCCAACAGCATAGTGCTATTTTAAATAAAGAGATAAAGAAAACAATCTTAAAAACTCAAAACTTAAAAAATTTTGTAACAGCTATTTGCGTTAATCTAGTAGCAATGAAGTTAGAATGATCTTGAGATGTATTTTTCAATAAATTCATCTTGTTTCTTTCAACTGACTGACTTTTTTCTTTCTTCCGTATATTACCTGACAAATGATTCTTTTTATCATTTTGACGAGCTTCCTCAATGTAATACTCGGCGATTCGTAATAGAATTTTTGCTCGTCCTGGATAATCTTGAGGAAATTCTTTTAGCTGCCAATGAAGATGACTTATTTCGATAGGCACCACGGTAAATAAACTATGAATGCGGTCTTCTCCTGGACGAATAACTAAAAATAAACTATGTGGTTCATCTTTTCCTAGTGTATAATCTATGAGAGTACGAGACGGTACATATACGAGCCCATATTCGACGTCTGAAGCAATATCGCATGGTTGTATTTTAATATTGCCAAATGTTGAAATGAGTGGTAAATAAGCATGATATAGAAATATTTTTCTATTTGATCGAAATTTATCGGCCCACTCTCTTAAAGTTGAAACACGTTCATGGCGAAGTAATTCAAGAATGTGTTCGTTAGTGTTTGAATACTTGTCTAAAACAAATTGAATAAATATTTCACAATCGAAATTATGCTCTCGATGCACTATTTGAGCAATCGTAGTCAATTGGTCATCTTCTTCGTTTACTTTTTTCACAACTTGACAAGCTTGATAACCCAAATGAGTTTTGAGATATTGAATATTATCGACATCAAATGCTGTATTACTACAAATGGCGGTTATATTTACGGGGCTAGGGAAATTAAAATTATCATCATCCATTCCAAACGCACTTAGTAGATCTTCGAGAGCTTGGATGCGTTCATCCGGTATAACGAAAAATCGATCATGACCATTGTTTTCCGATAATTTCAGTTGCTTCAATGATTGTTTACATTGTTCCAAGTTGTCTTTACCTGAAATAGAAATAATAGATATCAACAGTCGTTCGCGCGTCTTCTCAAGTCTAGACTTTTTCATTATCATTTATGCTGACAAACATTCTTGTTAGGATAAGTAAAACTTTTCAAAATGTTAGTAATTATACTGTGTCTAGCTTACCTCCAGCCAATAAACAAGCGATGGCATAATTGAGCCGAGCGAGTCTTTGACTATCTGTAAGTCGGTAAGAAAATGGAGTTTCTCTCGAATCTTTAATATCTTGTTCAGAAATTGAATTGATAATTTTATTGGTAATTTTGTTAATCATTTTATGATGATACTTTTCAACCCGAGAGTCGAGTTTTTTAGCAGCTTCAATTAATTTTGAACTGTCGTAAACTCCTCGAAAAAGAATTTTACTTTGCTCTAATAATGCTGAATGTGAAGGATTTTTTCGATCTGGATCACCAAAGTCAACACCACGAAGAAGAACTTCACCTATTAAAATGATAAGATGTGCAATTTTATCGGCTCGAAACCCATGTTCAAGTAAAGGACAAATGAGTTGATCTACACGAATTTCAATACTGATTGTATCACTACCCCTTACTGTGTCCATCAGTTGTTGATCTTGATAATAGGGCATCGAAAGACACTGAATAAACTTGCCATACATTTCAGAGTTATAACAATCAACTGCTTTACTCATTATTTCATTCAATTTTGACCGTATCGGATACTGGACAGAAAGATTTTCTAACGACTTTGTTTTATTCTTCCTAAATATCAATTTGTTTAACATCCATGAAACAACTAAAGGTGTAAAAAGCTTCATTCCAAGAGCTGTGACGCTTTTCGCTATTATATATGAACTTGTCGATGTCTTAAAAGTTGCATCTTTTCGTAAATTATTTTCAACACTGAGACTTTGTGGCTTTGAACATCGTACAACACATTTTCGAAGGATTGTTTCTCGAATGAAAACTTGAGTTTCATCATGAATTTCTCTAGACGATAATTTTGGGTTTGTACATAAAACAAGTTCTCGATTAGCATTTGTAGAAGCTGTAGATTTCTTCTCTTCGACAGTACTTGTTGACAAGCCTTGGTATTTTTCTAGGGCACTTTGTAACGTTCGCAATTTCTGATACATTTTCTCAGTCATAGTCGAAAGCGTAATTATATAGATTGCAGCAACTAAATAGAGTTGAGCTTCAACATCATGGTTTCCGGACAGACGCATCATGAGAGCCATCCATTCAAGAATTTGAGCGCGTTGCATAATATCAGCTCCATTCTGATCCATTCTTCCGAGGGATTTCAGCGCAGCTCGATAGTGTTCAAACGCCCGAAGTGCTTCAAATGAGAATAATTTTTTTAATTCTTCAACGTTTAGTTCTTCATCACCTCCCTCACTGAAACGTTTTTTAAAATCCATTGATAATTTAGCATGTTTATGTCCTTCTTCAAGTTCATTCTGTGCAACATCTGATTTCGTGCATAGCGAATATATTCTTGAAAGATGACTATCACGCATATAATTGATATGTTTCATTAATTCGTCGAACTTTGGATTTGCACCATGCTTATCTGAATGAAAGATACGAGCCCATTCACGATAGCGACGTGTAATAGATTGTTCTGTTTGAGGAATATCATCGAATAATGTTCTATTCAGAAGCGGCAGCTCAGAAAGAAGCATCTCAACAAAATAGATTTGTCGCTCTTCTAAACTCTTGTGAATAAAGTCAATAAAATCATTTAATAAATCAATATAATTAGAGTTTTGATCAGTATCTTCGTCTAATAGAATATCATCCAGTTCGGTCATTCTTAATGCTTCGAATAAACTTAAAATCTCATTCGATTTTCTTTGTAGTATAATATATTCATCAATTGTTCTTATAGGACGTTGAAAGATAAGTATGATGATATTTCGAATATCTTTGATTGTACTTGCTATCTGATCCGTGTCTTCTAAATTGCTGATTGACGTAACTAGATCTTGGACGGCTTCCCATGATATGTCGGAATCATAATTCGCTTCTTGGCTACGTATACGATCAGTTTGAGTCGAACTTTCGGCTATTGGATGTAGCTGTTTTAATGCTTCATATTTTCTAAGTAAGCCTTCTTCCTTTTTTTCTTTTTTATCATCTCTAATCTTTTGAAAATAAGCAGTACGAAGTTTGTGATAGCGATATCGATGGTTAACATAATAAGGAAAAGATATATTTTCGAGATCACCTATCCTTTCGTAAATTTGAGTAAATTGAGTTTCAATCAGAGTTTTCTCGGCTTCACCTTTTGCAAGCAATGTAAGTAGAGTTTCAAATCCTTGCTGAATACTGAGATTTAGGTCATCAGCGTTATCCATCTGAATTCAGAAAACAATCTATTTTATTAATCATATCACTTTCTCAATCGGTTAAAAACTAAACGCATTCAATCCTATTGTAAAAATTAAAATTAATTTTTTTATTCAATGTCATCTCGGAAGAAGAAAAAGTTGACTTCACAATTTTCAATATTATCAATAATTGAGATGAAGAAAAATATAAAACTTGAACATGTTTTTTCTATTCTAGCAGTAAACATTGATACTATTTTTATGTGAGATGAAACTGGTTTTCTAACAAAATAAAAAACTACAGTGGTATAATGGTATAAGCTGAGTGTCACTGAGGATGCCCTTGAGATATCCACCAGGATACATGTGACGGTCCTGTTAAGGATGTTGGAGCGGGTATCTTTTAGATTTCTATCCGGATGCTTGAGGGTATTGGTATGGGTATCCGTGAGTGTGTCGGGGAATGCCATTATTCCACTACACCACTCCATTTTTTATTTCGACAGAAATTCACAATTTTTCGTTAAAGTGAATTGTGCACACTCAAATACTTCATGAAACCTGCAGATTTGAAATTCTCAACTTCGAAATCATTTGATCGAACCTGTGTGTCGTATCTGCTATGGTGGATCGTTTCGCGCACTGCATGTTGTGAGAAAAAGTGAATGAATGACGTTTGCTGACTCTACGTATGATTCTCCTTCCAGCAGAGAGAATTACTATCTTTTCATGTATGTCAAGCTTCAAACTTGAATTCGATTGAAATTGATATTGAAATTTACAACTATCAATTTTCAAGCCGACAACACTAAAGAATCGCAACATACACATCATCACTGTGAGTTTAAAAGTTGAAAGTTGAAAATTTCACTTCCAGTTGGATTCAAGCTTCAAATTTGACACCACTGGCTAATTGAGGGCGACCCGACTACTTGTCCGGTTAACGGTCGGCGTTTATGCTTTAAAGTCGTTAAAATAGCCTATATAACTGGAGTTAACTGATGGTTTTTGATCGCTTCGCACGATATGGGTTGCATTTAGACGGATTCCTAACAGCTGTAACTTACCTTGCGGCAAATGTTTATTGCGTGCCTCTGTCATTACCTTTACCTCAACGTAACGACACTGCACTTCAAATGGCTATAAAAACGATGTTTTTTTTAAATATATCACATGATCAACACCGCTGGGAATAAAACTAGGACGAAAAGATAAGAATAAGAATAAAACCAAAACTGAGGCCACAAGACGTTAGTCATTATTATCATACCAGCATTGGCTAAAAAAATTGTTTTTTCTTCAACTGAACTGATGACAACTTTTTATATGCAATTTAAAAATCAAATATTGACCACATAGGTGTGAATTGAAACGCAATTTCATGTAGTTTTTTCATTGGCTAAGGTGTCTCTGCAATCAACAACAAATGTAAGAAATGAAACAAGCAAAAACATTTTCATAAACTTTATAGGGTACTTTTTATGCTCAACAAATTTATTTGTCAAGAAATTATTGTTCATCGCCAATAGTACCTTAAGTTACGTTCTCACCATCAACCAATCGAGTACCCTCAAAAAAGAACTCGTCGTCTTTAATAAGTTTTTCTACCCTTTATTCTACTTCTAATTAAGCATCTCCACCAACATTTCTTGCCAGTGCTGATATTGTTTTTCGTCTTCAAATATCGCACAATATTCATCTCAAAACATTAAATTTCTTTTAAAAAGAGAATCCTCACTTTGTAATATTATACGGGTCACAGAAATTAAATTTATGAAACAAAAGAAGAAAATAATCATAACAAATAAAATTGTTCACATGACAAGTCAACATCTGTGTTCAAAAAGGTTGCAATTACATGAAAGACCTTTTGAGACCTCTGACCGCCATGCATATCCTCAAAATATCATTTTAAAACACATTTTAGAAGGAATGTTTCTCTCTGAATCATACAATATTATCTCACGTATACGGTTGTTTTCTTTTGAAAGAGTTGCAGTTTAGGACTTATGAATCTTAAAAAGTATATTTCGATGATGCAAGATAATGTCTAAATAAATATGAGATCCCCAAAGATAAAAATGGAAAAAAACCTTGTTTGCTTCGCCAGTATCTACGTATCTCGGCGAATGAAAATCGACGTGTACGAGATAGAATGCTTTTGAGTTTTTTCAGTTGAATTTGCATATCAGTAATAGAATGGCATCAAACTCAGAATATTGTTCTTCAGATTCTGATGATGACGAGACGGAAAAGCAACGTGAATTAAATGTGATCATTTTCGGCGAATCAGGCGTCGGTAAAAGTGCACTAATTAATCAAATTTTTGATAAAAACGTTGTCGAAGCAAGTAATAGCGCCGTGGGATGTACGATCACGAGTGCCAAAGTTTCGGGAACATTGAAAGAGTACCCTCATCTGAAATTCAATGTATATGATACTGCTGGTCTTTCAGAAAGTGGCGGTGATGCTTTTGTTCAAATAGTTAAACTTGCATATTCCATTCCAAATGGTATTAATTTATTAATCTGCTGTGCTGAAAAAGGACTTTTGTCTGGTGAACGATTTAAAGCCAATTATCGTATATTTATAGAAGAATTATGCGAAAAGCGAATGCCTTGCTTGTTGGTAGTAACAAAATGTGATAACGATCATCCACTCAATACATGGTGGAATGACAATGAAGACATTGTCCGTAAGCAATTGAAATTTGGATTTATCGACTGTGTTTGTGTATCTACCCTTAAAACAACCAGAAGAATACCAAATGATACTCTCGAAGATTACATAGAATCAAGGAGTAATTTGGTTCAAGCTATTTTGAAATGCTCACTTTCCGAACCAATGCCAGTGGATTCATGGAAACGTACAGCTCGTTCTTATGCACAATCGTTTTTCAGTAGGACACGTGACTTGCTCAGTTTCGAAGAGAGCTCGTTATGGCCTGAACTAGAAAGAATGTTTATTGAACTCGGCTATTCACCCGACAATGCGAAAAGCGAAGCTAAACAATTTTTGAAAGATTTACAAGAACCCAATTTGATGGTTCCCTATGAAGTCGTGGATGTCTAATAAATAAGACGTGAATATGCAAATTTATCAATCTTCAATTTTATTTTACCAGTGGCAGATACTATCTCACTCATTATAAAAGGCCAATTGTTCGATCATTACTTGATATGATATCAACTATTCCCATATATACTCGAATTTATTGAGAAAATTATAAAGGTCGCATTTTGCTCATGATTTAAATGATAATAAGCACACGCACAGTGGTGTCAGACACAACGCAACACTATGTGCATGTCCTTGTTGATTCAAAAAGAAAAATCGCAGCTAAATACAATCACAACAGTGAAATCTGAAACATTTCCTTAAATACTCTTACGATAGATCAGGTCTTTCATATGGACCATCACAATAGGATAGTTTTTCTTTTCTATCGCTGCGGAACGGTCACAGCAGATCCTCAGCCACGCAAGACATCAACGGCTGAAGACTTCAAGATCGAAGTATTTGTTCTTGTCTTTCTCAAAGATAATTAATAGCTAAATTACTTTGATTTACAATATCATTGAATTCACAGTAATATCATTGTGATAGGTAGATCCACTATTCGATGCAAGCAGAGTAGATATCTTTTTAGTCGTGCATCGATCTATGAATATATGCCGACTTTAAAAGTTTCTACATACCAATAACCTGCATCCGCGTGAAGAACCATCGGGACTCTCCATCAGTTTACCGAACCTAAAAATGTTGAGCAGATCGTGACCTAATCGTTTTTTTAGAGTGTATTCATCTAGTTAAGTAAGTAAACGAATTCCTTATGTTATGGTTGCGTTCAAAATAATATACACGATCTTCTTTTATTTAATAGATTAAAACATAAAAACTTTTAGAATAGAAGATAAATACTATTAAATGTAATTTATTTCTCTTATCGATTAATTTATTTATTACTCGTTTCAATCTTTTTATTAAAGCATTTAGAGTCGAGATTTTGTGTTTTCTATAAAAATCGAACGTCGTCAACTCACACTGTAATAGCGTTTGGCCGTTGCGATTCAGTTCATATATATTATCCTCTTCGCTATATTCGTACATTGGCCGTCTGGCCCTCTCTTGAGAGTGTTGCTATGAGTTGAGTTGGCTTTGAATCTTGTACTCCACTGTCATTCACACTTCGCTTCCAAGTATACAAACACATATACGCTTCTATTTCAAGATCAGACAGACATTTAAACCTCAAAGTTCTATTTCGAGCCAGTCAACAATTAGTTAGAGAACCTTCGAATAAAGTGCATGATGTTTTATTTATTTTTCAAGGATAATATAATTCAGTGTATGGTTAAAAGCAAAACGAAAACATTTCGTTTCATGTGTGGATTAGAGGAAAAAACTAAGGAATAGATCTAATGATGAAATTGCTTGTGTATGAAATGATCGCCAGTATCCATTCCAAGTGCTCCATCTTCTATGCCGAATTCAACTCCACGAATACCAAATTTACCAGCATAGCATTGTTTGCAGTACTCATTCTCCACATGTTCAACCATCGTTGTTGTTTCTATCATTTTTTTACACAGACCTAGATTATTTTGAAGCACAATCAAACAATAACTGGCCGACACAACGAAAATGATTCACACACCACATGTCAAACAGGTCTTGTGCCATTGTTTCCCAGCAGCAGAAACAGATTCAGCTTGGAAACCAGCGTGTCCACAGTGAGGACAATAAGGTGTTTCTTGGTTTTTGAAGGGCATTGTGAATGCTAAATACTTTCTCCAATTGAAAAAGAGAAAAACAATAAACTAATAAGCCTGCCTCATACTAGAAGGTTCCTTTAATGTGGGTGTGCGTGTATATGCACATTTAAAACGGAGATTTTGTCGAGACAATCAAATGTTTCTTTCCCAAAATATCGATTTTTAGAAAACTTTAATCCATAAATACAGTTGAAAGGAACATCTAGGTTATATTATAGACATTAATTATCATTGAGGCATATGTGATAATAACTTGGATGTTCATGTTGTTTTCTATGTCTGGAAAAATTCAAATGAAAACTTTTCTACATTCACTATTTGAAGTTGTTGTTGACTGGAATAAATCTCAATTTAAAAATTCTACTTACATTAGTTCAATATATTGGGATATTTAATTGCAGAAGAATTGGGGGAAAATCTGAAACAAAGCGCACTAATAATGAAAAATAAATTTCAGAAGAACATCGACAATGTCTGAGTTGCAACATTTATGCCTCTCTTTTGTCCGAAAAAGTGCCTTATTAATATATTGTAGCATTTTACAACAGAGGGGAATGCGTACGTGCTACCGATGGTCCGCAATTTTTTATTTTTAACAACATTTTCTCTCGCCTTCTGTATGTTCGTACTAAAATGTAATGCCCAAAAGAGTCATCAACAATAAAAAGAAAGTAGGAGTTTGTCAACCTAAAGTTGTATTCATAAGATGTACATCTCATATTGAGTCAGATTAACAACACACGTCAATCAATCGCATAATGCTGATAGTATTATGTTTCTATTATTAACTTGATTGTGTGCGTGTGTACACTGTAAGGAGCAACAATAGTCAAAGAAATGATTCGTGTTGACACAATTTTGAGTGAATTCTGACAATTCATATTTTAGGACCACTGAATTATACTGTTGATATTATTTGTCCTGACGATTGTTCTGTGGAAAATAAAAAGTCTCGTTAAAGAAAAAGAGAAGAGGATTTACAAATCAAGATTTAACGATATTCGAATTAAATCAGTAAGAGAGACAATATCAAGAAAATCATTTTCTAAAAATATTCATAGGCTATTTGAATTCAACAGCTTTTCATTTTATTAAATATAATTATCTGTACTTGAGAAAAGTGTATTTTCCTAGTCGAAGGTGGATGTGTGGGTGGAGTGATGATAGCAGTCACGCATTCACACGCACCCTCAATGTGGTAAATAGCGCTTTTTAGTATGTTCATGTTAACTTTCCTTATGTTCGACTTATAAATAGAGATTTTAATAAACCAAACGATAAAGCAAAAAAATATATGTACGTAAAATTTTTCATTTCTTCATTTACTAGCTATCAATACTACTTGTGCCATAATCGGGGTAATATAGAAAAAGGGTTTTTTTGATAATAGAGGGAGATAAGGTTCAAAATCCAATCAAAAATGTTAGTATTTTAAATCGATCTAGATTATCCAATGAACAAGATCAATGAATCATTAATCAGTATCGAACGCTCCTAAACAAAATGAAAAAAAATCCATATATATTTTTTATCTTATCTTTTGGTTTGTTCAATTTTCAAATGTTCTCTGTTTTAGATGGATTATTTCATTGATGCGTTCTCTCAACTGTTCATCGAAGCTGATAATGCCATCGTCGTTCAGACTCCCATTTGTGGTTCAATCTGTACTGTCATAGTCATTTTATGCATTGCGAGCTTACTGATGATGATTGTGTTTATTATACAATTCGAAAGGCCACGAAATATTGTACTACGATTGTTGCCACCATTACAACCAGCAGCACAGCCACAATTGATATCACGACGAACGACGTTTCGACCGTCCATGGGTTCTCTCTGTACAAAAGTTATGTAATATGGATGAACAAAAAATAAATAAGAGCAGCAATGAATGCCATGTCACCACATCATAAAGGAATGACTTCGGGATCCGGCGATCATTACTAAAAGAATCTAATAAAACGAATAACTTGTTTTTTTAAATATTTGTTGCAGAAAAATGTTTCTGAATTATGCAAAAAAAAACAATAAAATCAAAATCAACAAGTAAAGCAGTTTCATTCATGAATAGGAGGTATCAAAATCTATTTTATCGGCATGAAGATTGCAGGTTTTCAATATGAACCGCCCCTCATCCAATCAAATATTTGTGTTGATTATGACCACTAGGTCTTTTCCGCACTACTGAATTGATTCATGCATTTTCAGGTGTGACATTCTCATTTCCAAAATGCTCGATTCGATGTAGAATCGTTAAAAATAGAATTTAGACAGGATCAATCCAGATGGCTAGGAAACAAAACTAATCTTGTAATCGAAAAAAATCATAGAACATGCTACAAATAGTACACAGAGTCGATCAATCTATATTAACAGTATCTGCATACTATGATACTGCGATGAAATATGGCAATAATCATATCGATATTAACCTGTCACTCTCTGATGAAACTATTCTAGATGCAGTTGTAAAAAATTTGAATCTTATCAGAGAAAATAAACTTCAAATGCTATTTTAATCAGAGTAACATTGTAGTATGAATCAATTTCAAATATTGTTGAATTCGAAATACGTGATTTTTATTTTGATGCCATACTAAAATGTATTCTCTATCGGACATGAGATGCAATCATCTTTTTAACGTTATCTGTCAGGAAAATAATAAAAATCAAATTTTCATAGATCTTTTAGTATTCGATTAGATATGATAAAACTATAATTCATTTTATTTAAAGGCAATATGATATAGTAATTGTGCACTTAAGGTCCACTTACTGATAATTGCGTTCCATGCTTGGTATTACCTTAGTGCGTTATATACAACGCATTATACATTATTTTCTCAAATTTGTTATTTCGATATAAAACCGTCACGAGAATATTCTTGAATAAAGTTATAATTAGAATTGCTTATGATTAGTATTGCCAGAGTACTTACTAATAAAATTACGAATTTAGCTTATGCGTCACATGTCCGCGTACTCGTTTCATGTGACCTAATTTTTCAACGATACGAATAATCACATGCTACGAGAGGATAGCACTCTTTCTTGCGTATTCTGCTGATCGTTTCCTTCGCTTCCTTTCTGTTCTGTACGTACAAATGGCGTAGATCATATGGACGAGAGCACGAGAAAAACTCATGAGAAACGAGAGATAAACTTTGTTCTCGTGATGTATTCGTCTTCGTCGTTTTTTTTTCTGAGCTCTTATATAAGTGCAGAGATTGAAGCACGCATGTAGGATATTAATACACTACACACACACACACACACACACACACGATAGTGTAGTATAATTTATTCCGTTCGCCCTTCATTTAAAATATTCCACTTCATCATTGTCTCGTTTTCATACAGTGAAGTATTATAAATTTTTTCTTCGTCAATACAATGCCATTTATCGGACGCGATTGGCGTGCAAATGGAGAACAATGGACAAAAACTGAACTTGGCTCATGGCAACGACCAAAACCAATATCACTATCAAATTCTGTAAGCTCCTGTTGATCATTTTCTTTATTCGTCATCTTTATTTTTTTCAAGTTAACAAATCTAAATGCAAGTCTATCCGATATACTCAATGCACTTGATATTGTTAATTCAGTTAGTAACATTCGACGTTTTAATTATGTTGCAAAAGTAAAGAAAAATATTTATTATCGCTGCTGTTTTTTTTATCGTGTATTTTTTTTTCTTCTAACAGGTTGTACAAATTTTATTGAAAGAAAAATTAAGCGAATTAAGTGGCAATGCTCAACGTTGTTTATTTCAGATTATCGAACGAATGATCGATACGGGTATATCTCTACGTATACATAAATATCTTTTATGAATTCTAATATTTTAGCTCTTAAAACTGGCGATAATATTCCTTTAATGCAACGGATAGTGACGCAATTTCTTAATTCTATAGAAGCTGCATATCCATTTTATTATTATATTGGTTCAAGTCAATTATGGCAACAACATATTGAAAAGTTAACACATATGAAAGAGAAAATGAAACATATTCGAGTAAATCGAATAAAAACAGATGAAGATAATAGTAAAATAAAATTTGATTATCTTCCAGTTGAAATGCAACGTGAAATAGTTCGACGATTAGATAGCGGCGCAGATATAGCAAATGTGGGAATGATTAATTCAAATTTATATCGAGTAACACAAGAATTACTTCTTTGGCGACAATTATGTCTTCATCATTTTGGTGATGAAACTAAGAATAGTAATCAAACAACAGTATTCGGAGAGAAAATTTCTGGTTTTCTTCGACGACAAAACAAAAATATGAATGTGGATATGGATAACGTTGATTGGAAAAAAATTTATTTTGTATTAAAACGACAATATGGTCTTCGAGATGTTTATGCTGAAATGATTCATCAATGTCAATTATGTAAATATTTATACTGGCAGGTTTGTTGAGTGTCTATTCGTGCAGTGATTTATTTTTAATTTCATTTATTTTAATTAGGATGCTGATCATCCATGTCCATATGAAAAACTTTCATCGTCATCAAAACCTATTACACCACGAAAACTTGTAATTATGTTAATATAAAATGAAGAAGAAAACAAAACTCTCGTTTTTGTGCAATAATATAATTATTTTGTAAATAAATGATTAAATAAGCGGAAGAGTCCGAGTTGAAAAGTCATTTTGGCATAACCATTGACGAGTACGAATTCGTTTCGAATAATAAACTGATAATGGGCAAACCAGTGGCGGAAGTGTAGAATCGGCTTCTTTGCTTGTATGGTGCACGACCAGTTTACCATTCATAGGAAATTCCTCTAGAAATTTATTTTTTAGTAAATTTCGTTGGTTTGATGATCGATTTTGAATCTGCTTTATAGCATCAACAAATCGATTCGATTTATTTTGTTTTTTTCTATGAGGTATATTTGTTGGTCGCTTTGGCTTCGCTGCAACTGATGGAAATTTTTGAATAGGAAATCCAAGCATTTGATTAATTTCTGTATAATCAGGCCATTTGTCGTAAACTTTATTTGTGTGTTTATCGATAGACGCAACTGATGAAACGGTTAAACATCGTTCTTGATTCATTGTTACAGGTGGTGATGCTAATTGATGACTACAAACATTAGTTTAGCTCTTTTTTTAAATAAAACAAAAGAATAGTTTTACTTCGCTGATTGAAAATCCAATAATGTGTATGAAGATTCGGATAAATATATTGTGAATTCCTTTGAAATGGGAAATTCGTCGTCCGATTCAATTTTTGGACTAATAATAAAAATCGATTCGTTTCTCATTGGCATCGAAATTAATGGTTTTTTAGCTGAATAAGAATTCAGTTGATTATCAAAAATACGTTTATGTAAAATACGAAGTTGATGGCATTCATCTACGATTGATTTTAATTGATTTTGACGTTGATAACGAATATCATGTAGATGTTGTTTTGCATCGGTTTGACGAATCGTCTGTTTATGTGAATATTCACTTTTCAACATCGAAAGTAACTGTCAAAGTAACAAAATGAATAGAAAATGAAACCATGCAATCTAGCGACCAGCTGCTTTTTCTCTTTTCTTCATTGCCAAACATGGATTCAATGCTTTATGTTCTCTACACTTAATAAACATGAATTAATCGATTAAAAATGCGTTGTCAAAATGTAAATACATTAAATTTTAAATGTAATCATTCTTTTGATTTTGAGAGTAAATAAGTCATTTAACCAAAAGTTTCACAATTGAAATTTCATTGCAAATATCTCTATTGTATTTATATACTGCGTTAAAAATATAATGAAACATTTGCGCCTGTTTTTCTACATAAAGACCATTGACTTTAATGGTCTATTTATTGAGGGTGGTGGCTTCGGATGTAAGAAAAAAACGAAGCGCTTGGTTTTTGAAACGACACGAGAAGGATTCACGCCTCTAAATTTTTCCTATTCCATTGTGGCAGTCTTAGTAGATTTCAACCGTATGGCTACGTGATGGCTAACGAGAAATGTATAAATATGTAGATCAAAACAAGTTTATTTTTCAGCACGTTTAGTGATTCTAAGAGTATTGTAAAATTTTGAATTACAACAACGTGGATTTTGGCGGAATGACAAAAATATGCTTGTGTGATAACGATGTTAATGTTACTGCAAATGAAAAAGCAACGAACATCCGATACCGATAGTATGTGGTTAATTGGTATATGGTAATTATGTTTCTTTTTCAGTACTTGTCTATATCATCTAATATGTGTTGCATGAAATTTTCATTTACATAGGTGTCACTGGCAGAATGCGAGCAACGAAAGCTATGAATATCATATCATACATTGAGGAAATTTTTTTATCGGGGATTGACTGAACATCTCGGTTTCTTCATACTTATTATCAGAGAGTAATGGCGAATTCAGGTGGATTCTAAAATCCACTTGCCTGTCTTACATTCATTGTCTGTATACTCATTGATCAAATTGTCAGATGAGATGATTTCGTCCGTTGATCTAACCTTCGATTATTTTCATTCGTCGCGTGAAATGATCATTAAAAAATTAATTATTTGTGTTTTGTTGTATTTTGAATCGCTCGCACACGATAATTAGCATATTTCTATGAGCAAAGCGATTCGAAAATAAATGAGTACCGGAATGTTGATGTCAATTTTTAAGGCAATTATATAATCTTCCGATTTGCATAATAATTACTTATAAGATGATTAGCTAGATGAGGATTTCTGGGTTGATTCAAGTCTGAAACCTGCTTGTTTTAAATTTTTTTGTAAATTATACTTTGTATATTATTGGAAACAAGCTCTATCAATTGGTCTTCATATGTTTAGACTGTTATTATGATTATGAGTTACGGCATTATCGTTTATTGTCAATTGTGCCTCGACTTTTCCTATCTCTGTGACACAATTATTAATAAACTTGTATCATTTTTTTAGATCTACATCAATTGTGCGTTCAATTATCTCCTTCGAATTTGATCATGATTGCAATGTATCCTTTTATTGAATCCGTTGGATCACAATTATCCTCACTCACTGCTAGCATGATACACTTTCATTTATGTGAAGAATTAGATGTATAAGTTACGATTTTTCGAACAACATCGACTTATTCAATGTGTCGGACGAACTTTATGTCTTCTTAAAACAGTTGAAGTATTTAATCAACTTGAACAAGAAGAGACAATCTAAGACGACAATAAGCTCTATTGACTTTCTTTATTTAGCAACTCTTATTATGCATGATATACATATAAATTATATTGAACAACTTCTTTATCGAACGCGTCATTTGCTTTGATATTTTGTTAACAATCATTAATCAAGATCAACAGCAAATTCAAAACAATCGTACGATAGTTGATATTGTATAAAAAAAGAACGAGTGGGATGATATCTGTTCTTGGTAAAAACTATTGAAGAATGACAAAGAAAATAGACTTTATTCAATGAGAACAATAGAATAATATTGCAAAATGACAAATAATTCTGCTGTTTAATATGAAATTAAAAGCTTTGCGGTTTCGACGGTATAGTGTAGGTCGGTATGTTTCAATATAGATTTGTTATTAATTTACGTCAACCACTGCATAGGGAACCATCAAATTGGGTTCTTGCAAATCGTTCAAAAGTTTGTTAGCTTCACTTATCGCGCTTTCAGGTGAATAGCCGAGTTCAATAAACATTCTTTCTAGTTCAGGCCGTATAGAGTTCTCTTCGAAGCCGAGCAACCGGCGTAGCATATTATAAAACGAACGTGCATAAGAAAGAGCTGCACGTTTCCATGAATCCATTGGCATTGGTTCGGAACGTGAGTATTTCGAAATAGCTTCAATCAAATTACTCCTTGATTCTGTGTAATCTTCGAGAATATCATCTGGTCTTCTTCCGGTTGTTTTAAGGGTAGATACACAAACACAGTCGATAAATTCAAATTTCAATCTCTCACGGACAATGTCTTCATTGTCATTCCACCATTTATTGAGTGGATGATCGTTATCACATTTTGTTACTACCAACAAGCAAGGCATTCGCTTTTCGCATAATTCTTCTATAAATATACGATAATTGGCTTTAAATCGTTCACCAGCTAAACGTCCTTTCTCAGCACAACAGATTAATAAATTAATACCATTTGGAATGGAATATGCCAGTTTAACTAATTGAACAAAAGCATGAGCTGTTGGTACATTTCCATCGTCACTTTCTGAAAGGCCAGCAGTATCATATACATTGAATTTCAGATGAGGGTACTCTTTCAATGTTCCCGAAACTTTGGCACTGATGATCGTACATCCCACTGCGCTATTACTTGCTTCAACAACGTTTTTATCAAAAATTTGATTAATTAGCGCACTTTTACCGACGCCCGATTCGCCGAAAATGATCACATTTAATTCACGTTGCTTTTCCGTTTCGTCATTGTCAGAATCTGAAGAATAATATTCTGAGTTTGATGCCATTCTACTACTGATATGCAAATTCAACTGAACAAATTCAAAAGTATTGCGAATCTTTTTATATTAATGTTTCCACATGATGATATCAGCAGTTGCCTTGAAAAAAAAACAGTTTGATATTTATTTTCATGTTGGATATATCATTTATTTGCATTTTGATTCGTTAAGTTACGGCATTTCATCATTTTTCTCGTCCTATCTCGGACACGTCGGTTTTCATTTGCCGAGATAGATACTGGTGAAGCAAACAAGGTTTTTTTCCATTTTTATCTTTGGTGATCTCATATTTATTTAGACATTATCTTGCATCATCGAAGTATACTTGTTAAGATTCATAAGTCCTAAACTGCAACTCTTTCAAAAGAAAACAACCGTATACGTGAGATAATATTGTATGATTCAGAGAGAAACATTCCTTCTAAAATGTGTTTTAAAATGATATTTTGAGGATATGCATAGCGATCAGAGGTATCAGTGCCTGTGTGGCAGTTAGTCTTCTTTTAATTCACATCCACATTGTAATGATTTTACTTTTAGAGTTTTCATCAGTTCAGTTGAAGAAAAAGCAATTTTTTTACTCAATATTTGTATGATAGTAATATGACTAGTTCCTGTTGACTTTAGTTTTGCTTTTCTTATCTTTTCTTTGTATTTTTATTCCGAGCGATGTCGATTATGTGATATATTAAAAAAATTCGTTTTTATAGCCATTTAAAATAAAGTGTTGTGTCGTTGAAGTAAAGGTAATGGAAGGGATGCGTAATAAACATGGATCGCACAGCATAGTTGTTAAGACAGAATCTAAATACAATAATGTACCACGTAAATACAATGTAGTTGTGGCCGGTGAAAGTGGAGTTGGTTTGTTGATCATATTCTATTTACTTAATAATCGAATTTTTTCCTATAATAGGTAAAACTTCAGTGATCAATGCGATATTTGACAATATGCAGTTAGCTACATCTTCGGGTGCTGTTGGTTGCACCGATGAGTGTCATTCAGTTCGAGATTCACCCAAAGACTATCCAAGTATCTTTTTGAGAATGGTTGATACTGTTGGTTTGTATGAAAGTTTAGAAGGCACTGTATCATCCCAAAAAGCAATGGAGATGTTAGATAAAAAATTGGAAAGCTTATATGCAACCGATGGTATTCATTTAATTTTATTTTGCATTCGAAAAGGTCGTCAATCCCAGCAAACAAGTCAGCATTATAAAAACATTGTTCATGATTTGTGTGAAGATCAAGTGCCATGTATATTAGTAATAACTCGTTGTGAAGACGATGATCCTTTAGGTGAATGGTGGGAGAAAAATAAAGTCATATTAATTGAAAAACTGCAATTCCATGTGGAAGATGCTGTAGCTATGACAACATTAAAAAAGGAAGAAAATTTAGAAGACTACAATGAATCAAGAATGAAACTGATCGCAGCCATTGAAAAATATGCTTTGAAGGATCCATGGCGTGCTAAAGACTTTAAACAGAAACTAAGCTCCTTTTTTAGAAACAGAATCACTCGTAGATCGAATGTGCCACCGAGACAATCGGATCCATTAATGGAGCATTTACAAAGACCAATGGGCGCACCTGCGACTGCAAAGTCACGATGGTCATGGCTTTACCAGAAAATTAAATGATATTTATCGAGTTGTTTCTTATTTTGATAATAAACTATCACAGATGTGAGGGTTTTGTACAAGTTTATGATTCATTTTCCATTTTGACTTATTTGATGGTAGACCGAGTCTACCCGACATCTTGATGGTGTGTGTGTGCGGCATAGGTGACTCAAGGTGAATGTGATTGTCGAACCCGAGGTGTATGATGTGAACGTGCTTGTAATAGTATAGATGATTCATATCTACACGCTAGTGAGTGCATTAGTCGTTTATATAAGAAGACGATGAAAACGATGCTAGATCAGTCACATTACAACAACAAGATACATATGATTGATACTGGCGAGAAAATAAGGTGTCTTATATGTACTTGGTAAGCATGGCGAATAAGAAATAGACCTAAATACGAAATTCGGCAACAGATGAACACTAAATTACAATTGAATGTAAAGAATTATGACCTATAATTCCATCTGTTCCTATTTAATAAAATCAAAACATTAACGCACATACCTCTCATTTCATCAACTAATTAGACTAAACTACATATCATATCTTCGTTGCTGATTTACACACAAGAGCAGTAAACTCATCAGCCACTGCCGAATCATGATTTTACCAAAATATCATTTATCATTCACGTTCACATCGAAGATCAATGTATATTACATATGCATGCAGTAACAATCCATGATCAACTCTTCATTCTTACGTACAGCTTGATCAGATAGGCACGCATAGTCTCAAACATTTATATATACCTTGCCTTCCCTTTGACTCTCTCTCTCTCTCTTTTGGTCATGCATACATATCCATTTTTTCCCCAAGAAAAGTTCTTTTTCTTTTCATTATTGATTCAGAGTTAACCATGTTCCTTAACAGATCTGCTAACTCAAATCCATCTGATGAGATCCTTAAGCAGAATCTAAGTGCATCATAATTTAGTTTTCACACAAAAAGTACTGCCACCTTTTTTGTCTTGCTCTTTGTCGTTTTCATTTCTTCTTTTGGAATCATCAATTTCTGTTTTTGAAAATATTTTTGTGTTATTGCCTGCCAAAACACGAACACTATTGTGAGCCGCTACCTCTTATAAGAAACAATGAGTGAAATCCTCCTGATACCCGAAAAAGATTAGTTATTGTTGACTATTTTTAGTAGACAAAATATCGAAGTGCTTATTCTTTTCTTTCAAAAAAAAAAGAGAAAAAAAATATATTTTTTTTGTATGCGTCATGAGTAGTTTGAAGGCAGATAGTAGAAGTTTTTTTTCATATACTTTGTTCGTTATTCATTCTTCTTATCTAGTGATGACGTATACTACAGAATAAAACAAACAGCAGTGTAAGCAGACAACATAGTTCTGCTATTGTGAAAACGTTTCGCGACATCATGAAATTCCGATTTGTGGTCTTCTTATTTCTTCTTGCTATTGACGGTTCTGCAACAAAACGTCAATGTTTATCCGATTGTACAGTTTCCGGCCTAATGGGTATGCCACTTGTTGTGCCTGATGGACTTTGCAAAACTGCTCGTGGCACCAATTGCGAAGTCACTGTACGAGTCCGATATCACCAAAAATCATATAGTGTCACATTCGACACGTCCTATGTAAAGTCATACAGTCGTTTCATCTATATTTTACCATCTTATTACCTCTCATACACTGCCACATATTCATGTTCCAGCGATGATTCTTGTGCTCTTAGTTTTGCCAAAACCAAGGTGCTCGACCTCTCAAATCGAACGTATGATTTTATTAGTATTGTAAGCGAATTGCGGCCTCTTCTGGAAGAACGTCGACAGGCAGGTGACAATCTTAATTGCTATGATGGTACATGCTTGACTGGACTATGCGAAATTGAGTACGATACAAAATCAAATTCTCTTAGAAAGCGAGTATGCAATAGGGAAGCTAGCATTGTCAGAGTAAGCGCCTTCGATAGTGGCAGTTATGCTACCTTAGATATCGAATGTAATCGAACGAATTGTAATTCACCCAATACAATGGCTCAGGTCAAGAGGATTCTTCACGCATACAATTTGACAGATGCTAATGGCCGAATCAATCGAGCTCAAAATGGCATCGGATCTGCTTTTATGATTGGTGGGCTCATGTTGTTTTCTTATCTGATAAATAAAACGGTTTTGTGAGTCAGCTGAGCGACATTCGTTAATGAATACAGAACTTATTCTTATATTAGTTTGGGCCTACTGGTCAAATTATCGATAAGATATATTTTTATTTATGGAGTTCGTTTTTGAAAATAGAATAAAAACCATGATCTATTACATTGTGTATAGAATCACTTTAAAATATACTGGATATGATTCCATGTCTTTTATAAGTTCCCATATAATATCATCACGTGAAAATACTGTGATACTTTTTTCAGATCGTTATTGAGTAAAATGAGGGAACCTTTCTACGCGTTGTCGTTGCAAATCATTCGTTTCACTACGATGTTTCTGATCATATTGTTACCACTATTCATCATCCATTGGAACATTTGACCAATCTAATCGACTATAGGAAACTTTGGTTGAATAACACTAAAGTTTTGTCTACACCTATAATGCAATACACAAATTTCCGTAACTTTTGCTTGAGCAGTAATGGCCCCGTATATGGCGATGATAAAGCATGTTGACATGTTTGAAGTGCTTGTGTTAAAGAACTAACAATTATTGTTTGTCGTTTGTTTTCTTTTTAGTTGGCATGATTGTGTATCTATAATTGTGCTTTTGTTTATCTATAGATAATTGTGATATAAAAAAAAATGGAGAAAGATCTAAAATAGAAGCTTCAGATAATAAAGAATTTCAATTTTCGAATTGTTTACAATGATATCTTATAGAATTACTTTCAGACGTTTTACATATGTCAAGCACTAATTAGTTAACGTTAAGTTGAAAAGTAAATCCTTCTCGTTTTTGTTCTGATAGAGAGATGTTTATCAATGAATGTAGACTTTTTGAAGATATGTTGAAAAGCAATACTTTCAAAGCTCTGTATAACGCGTTTCAATTGCTGCTTAGATAATCATAATCATCAGGTAGGTACGAAATCGCAAAGTCTACTTAAAAATTACTTGGATATTTTCGAAGAACACCTTGCCATTCGAAATCGATATCATATCTGCACTTACCTTCGTATTCTATATGCTAACCGTGTTGGATGGTATAGTACTGAAAAGCGTCCTATCAAGCATTCATTGATGAAAATCTAATAATGCTTGTATTAAAATTAGAAGTCTCTTGTTTTTGTGATAGTGTATCATTTTTTATGTTATAGAACTTGAATATATCATGATCAAAAACAGTAGATGAAGTTCATAGTTAATTTCAACTGAAGATTATTTCTTTTATAGATTCGTACTCATCTAACATAGTCAGTAAAGTAAGTCTTCATTAGACCCTTTGAAGTTAACATTTCTGATGAATTCATTTTTGAGTATAATTTTGGTTTCGATAGTGTACAGCTGAAGAATTTATTCTCATTCATTAAAATTAAAATCATTCCTTATTGAGAATTAGCAAATCTGATACAATATTTAGGATTAATATGTTAAGATTGTTCCTCTTTATTTATTGCATATAGCTGCTGGTCATGACTACTAGTTGAACTTTGACGGTTTTCAATGAGGAATTTTCGTATGTAGAATATTTGTGTAGTACTCCTTTGTTTTCAATACTGTTGCTGATATAATTGCATCTTCCAGCATACTATTGAATTGTTTCTGGGTATGTCAGAATTTTATATATTGAAAGTACTCTGCAATGTTTCGTCATTACTTAAGGGATTCGTTAGAACTGTTAAGAATCTATTAGACTAAATAAAAATCACTAAAATATATTATTACAACAACACTTATCTATTTGAAATTAATTAATTAATTAAACGAATAATTAGTAAAGATGGTGCTTTGATCTAAAATAATTACAGAGCTACAGAGTTAATTTCGCCGATGCATTTCGTGCTGCTTATCATATGATAATTAAACAATCGCCGAGGCTCTGCATTTAAATTTTAGTCACAATAATCAAAATATCATCATGAGCGCACATCATATTGTAGTTGCTAATTACACATACAACAGAATTATTATCAAACTTTCTTAAGAGTGTGGTTGGGTCTGAGTCTGGATGTGAATGCAATGACCCAACAAATTAACAATATGAGTATGTAAATAGACGATCATACTAATAAACAAGTTAAAAAAATATGACTGAGCATTGTTTAAATTAGTGAAAATGAGGTTCAGTTTTAAATTAAATTTTAAAAGGTTTTTGATTATTTTGTTTTCTTGACATTTGAAAAAGAAAGAGCTACTATTTAAGTAAATTTGAGAAACTAGTTTGGCTTCCAATGACAGAAGCAAACAACTCCAACATATGTAGCAATCTTCATTTCATTTTGCCATTCTAATATTTCCTAATTTCCGTCTGCTGATCCATTGCATGTATTTCACGATTCCGGTCTCATATTGTGCTCATTGAAACCAGATAATATATGACTTCGTTTTACACTTGCATGACTGGGATCGTGTCGAGTTGAAAGATTATCGTTCAATACAAAGAGAGTTAGTTACATTTTCATTTATGGTTGTCTTGTAAGATCGAGAGTGGTTGACTTTCGCATTGACACATAGAAATAAGCCCACAAACTGTGTACTTAAAATAAATCAATGATACACCCACACTGCAATACTCCATAAACAAAAACGAGTTTGTGTTTCAATCGCTTCTGTTCTTTCCTTTCTCGATCGCATGCTATAGTGCCTTTCAAAGAATTGTTCTGTTAGAAATGTCCTCGCTTTTCATTCTCCATAGATGTCATAAATACCTTTACACTGGGCATCGAGAGTTTTACGTCACAATACCCTATGCAGCAATAATTTATGGAGTATCCATTCTTAGTGCATCTACAATCTGATCTAACCACATTAAGAGTATCCACATTTGGGTATCCACTTTTGGATATCCACTTTTGGGTATCCACATTTATATATATATATGTTTTGAAAAGCTGAGCAATTTGAGTTGTTTTGGTGTATCCACATTTGGGTATCCACCTTTGGGTATCCACTTTTGAGTATCCACTTTTTGGGTATCCACATTTGGGTATCCACATTTATATATACATAAATGTGGATACCCAAAAAGTGGATACACCAAAACAACTCAAATTGCTCAGCTTTTCAAAACATATATATATATAAATGTGGATACCCAAATGTGAATACCCAAAAAGTGGATACACCAAATGTGAATACCCAAATTCGGATACCCAAAAGTGGATGCACCTAATGTGGATAGTGTAGTGTGTTTGTGCTAATAAGTCGTTACCGGGTGTAAGGATATTATGACATCACTCTCATTCTCATAAAATTATGTTATCGATATTTCGCCCGTGAGCAAATATTCTGCTGAGTCAATGTCATTGAAGAAAATACCTGTCGCCGTCAACAGTCACCTATGTAAATATGGTATTAATATAGTACATAGATGATGCTGTCACCTAAGCATAACTCGCCAGATATTTAAGCTATGTATATGAAGAATATTCGAATTGACATATCCATATTCTCATTAAGACCCTAAAGTTCACACCATTACGTTTTACTGAATGTATTTTTTTTCAGACAATCATACCCCTAAACAGCATTTATTATTCTTATTGCCAGTTTTAGCAAGGAACTCTTTTTTTTAAGAACCAAAAGTGCAAAATATTTTTAAAAAGAGCACGTCACCAAAGACTTTCTATTCTGTTACGTTTTTCGCTTGTACTGCTATGGATGCATTTGCTGCCTCATAGCATATAAGTAATACAAGCAAATGTACATATATGTAAATCTTGTATTTTATTGAAGTACTATGTTGATTTATCCTCTTTTTTTTAAATATTTATTTGAGAATGGCAGGTGGATTGTTTTTGATCATCAATGGATCACACGTCTCCTCGCACTAGGGTTACAAAACTGTTTATGATCAGCAGCAGTGTGCGTGATCACTTGTTACTGAAATTGTTTACGACAAACATTTATTTGACCTTGGGAAAAGGCAAGTTTTAGCTATCTCCTAACTGAGAATCATAAAAGATAACATAAAATACTTTTATTCATGACACAATCGAAATGTAACATTCTTCAATGAATAAAATTAACTAATATCGTACGTTATTAAAACACAGCGTATATCTACACGTACAGGTGACTCTGGTTTATGCACTGGTGTAGTGGTGAACTTGAAACGACATATGAAGGAAGAAGAAGGCAAAAAACAGAAAAGTATGAATAGAGTTATTTCTATAACATTATGCCACAACTAAGAATGTCATGCTTACCTGAGAAATTTGTTATTATTATGCCATTCTAGTGAAGTTTAAATGTTATATTATAATTTAATTTAATTGTTTTGCTTAATCGAAAAAATAAATTCAATAAATTTATTTGTAAAACAAGCAAATAAATATTAAATATTGTAACATTTGCAGGTTGTGTTTTTTATCAAAATCAATTGACTTTTTATGACAAAAAGACGCAAGCAATGCTTGAATATAAAAAATAACAAATATCGATTTCCTGTAATTGCGTTGTGCGATGGTTTAGTCATTAGAATAGAAAATTATATTTATGGAAAAACAGTTTTAAATAAAAATGGACTAATTTATTCAGAAATTTACACAATAGTAATTATAAAAAACAATGTTGATACTTGATCATACTAATCACATTTTATCTTATCGTTTCATATAATAATTCAGCTATGATTGATTTTATGACAGAAAACTATTGTATCAAATGATGCTTCAAGAATTAACTACATTGTTAGTTGCTTCCATTGATGTACTACTTGACATAGCATACGGTGGTGGAGGTTCATATGGTGGTGGTTGAACATAAGGTGGTACTTCATTATAAGATGGGGGTGCATGGATTTCATTTTGTTCAGCTAGAGCAATTTTTGTGGATAAAGGATAAACATTCATTCTTCTGTTTTTACTACATTTTTTGACACAATAGGCATACATCCAAATGAAAACCACGGCACCAACAAATGTAGATACGACAATTGCTACAACAATTGTACCATTTAATGATGAATTGCCACTGCTGGACTCCGATGGGAGCGTCGCTGAATATGCATAATTAATAGTGATCAATATTACCAATGTAAAAAATGCTTCCATTTTCAAAAATTATTTCGTTGGAATGACCTCGAGAAGAGACAGAGAGAGAAAATCAAAACAAAATCAAAAATCAAATGTTCTTATATACGTGCCGTTGATTTAATCGTTCTGTACTAATGAAAAACGCAGTCATCTCGTTTGTGCGTGATCGAACTCGAACTTTAGTCTGTTTAAAACTTATGTGAAGCTTTTTGTTGGATGCCATACGTTGAAATAGTGATTTATTTGCCATTCGCTTTCACTTTACTATTTTCTATAATAGTGGGAGAGAAAACATTGAGCGAGTGCTATCTTGAGAGTGTCGGTGTATACAGATAGAGGATATCAAGCTCTATACGGCGAGGTTCGATATATCTGCTTATACAATCACCATCAAGTAGGCTATAGTTGGCAAAGACAACAGAAGATTCAGTAAAGTGCAGTAAGAGAATAGCTCGTTATTTGAAAATACGATTTTGATTCATACAAGTGTGCATATCTAAGGATGCTTTTAGTGATGTTAGAGGTTTTTTTTCATTGTTACAAACAATGGTGATCATCAGTTGAAGTCTGTCAATTAAGAATAAATAGTTAGTTCTGTTATCTCAACAAAACTATCATTTGAAGAAGATCTAAACAGAAGCTACGAAACAATTGATAGAGCTTCTTCTTATTGAATACTATTCAGTTGGTTGATATTTGATGTAGATGAGTAAAATGGAAGCGCCTATTAGTGACATTCAAGTGTTATTTATTAAATGAAATATGATAAAAAGCAATAATGTCTTAAACGATTACAACATTTTTTACATGCCGATAATAAAGTTATTCTTATTAAGAAACATCCATTAGGTTATTACTGTTTTTCATGATTCTTCATTTTTGTTAGTGTATAGTTGCTAAATATCAACCAACAGGAATCATGCTGATAGTGTTTGTATGCGCTTGATTTCGACGATGGCGATCGATACGAAAATACATTATACGTATCGATTCACATCTATATAAATTTGTCGTGAGAATTAATAATAAGAAGGTTGTGACATGAAAAAATTGATTCCATAACGAGCATATGTTTATAATAAAGCCAAATAATACCGTTTGCATGTTAGAATTGGTCACAGTCAATGTGTAGGAAATACCAGTAGGCAAGGAAAAGATGAGATAATTCACTACTTGACATAATAATAATCGGGCAAGTTAAACTTCAGTATGACGCTGTTGACTGACTGTGTCAAACATTGGCATAACTCAATTTCTCTGACTATTTATGTTAAAAATTGTAAGCAGACCAACAATTACCATAATAGCTTGAGATATAGTCAGAATCGTTGCAGCAGTATCAGTGTACGACAATCAAATGCCACGATAATCATCGCTGATATACTAAATGAATAGTGTTGGACTCATGATGATAGGAAGTAAAATGGTAAGGATAAGTATAGCTCGACGAGCGATAATGACTGAACTCCAACGGCGAAAACCAATCAATACCGATGAGTTGCAATAACTATCACACGTAGCAAATATTAGAAGCATACTTATATAGAATGCCACTAATATAAGAAGATAGAGTAATAACTTGCAGTCAGTTAGAGTATTATACGGAGAAAACAAGTGGTATTTGTCCGTAAGTTGAAATCCTGGTTCAATCAGCAGCACCAAGATAAAAGTCACAGCTATTGCAAGAAAATAGTGGGTGCATGGTGATCTTTTGTAGCAAGATCTGCCTTGAAAGAACAAGTACATTAAATATATTTGTTACAATTCCAAGTACTATTTGAATTGGTACAATGACAGATGTAAGATGGTCATAGATTAAATCATAGTTAATGTCGGATGATATTCTTCCGTGTCACAGCATCAGTCTTTCTAAAAACTAAATTGTTCAGTGCCAAAATTCCACGTTGAACATATAATGAAGAATAATGTGAAAGCTCAATTACAATCAACAACAAGATCTTTTTTTATAGCTAGCATGATTAATAATAAACACTTTTTCCTCTAACGTTTCATAAACTCTTCAAACCATACGTTTCTAATGGAGTTCTCGTAGGAATGGTGGCATGACAGCTGAGCACCCATTAAACAAATGATTAAAGAATACAAGAAAATAATTTTATTTGAATGAATCAGATTTACATCAAAAATAGAAGAGGGCTCTTGCTCGTTTAAAAAATACTTCTCTTGCTATTAAATCAAAAGAAGGAACAAGTTGTTGTAATTGTTCATCCAAGAGTTCATATTTTATTCGATTAACTTTTTTCACAAGTCCAGCTTGTAATTGTTCAGCCATTATTAAACTAGCATGCTGTTCCATTTGTAAGTCATTTATTGGTTCATATATCGATGTGTTTGTCGTACCAAGTGCTAAAAAGGAAAGAATAAGTCATTGCTTCTTCAGGATTAGGTGCATGAACCCAGGAGAATGAATCCTAGCCTAGGATCCGATGAGTTCCGATCGGTTCCTATTGGAATCCGACGGAACTCTTCGGAAGGCGCGAGGAAGCTATCGGATTATCGTCGGATGGTAGGACCCCATAGAATCCGATGGGATTCGGTATCGGATTGATTCACCTGGGAATATGATCTTTGACTTTCATATATATTGCAACATCGAAACACGCACGACCTCCACAATTGCTTTTACAGCACCACCAGATGGCTTGAGATTTCTTGTCCCATCTGTAGCGAAAGCCATCAAAAAGAAGTTGATCCCTATTTTTTGAGGATTTAACAATTGACATTATATAATAATAATAATCTAATGAGATATATCACTAATTCAATGTATAAAGATAACAAGATTTAGTTCAAAAACTTATTCGCTTTCTTACGGATTAGTATGGAGACATTTAATAGTATGTGATCAATCTCATTTGAAAGTGTCGCATGTTTCTGTTCATTAGTTTTTAATTGAATTAAGTGATCGAATATTGATATTTTTTTATTTACATTTAATCAATGAGCGCTCAAGTGTCGGTGTACCCGTAGGAATACATTCTATTCAGTCACTTTTTACATTTCTCCTAAATGTATTCGTTTTAATATCAATGAAGCATCGAAGTTCTAAGAGCGAACACCAACTACAATGAATTCAAAGAATGGTAATTTGTTTCTGACGAGATTTCATTTCTTTTCTAATCTCGATAATCTTACTTCTTAGTGTGCATCGTATTTGCGTAGAACTCAAATAATATTTCTTTTTTCTAGCCTTTTACTTGCTACTGTTGTCACGATTGTGCTATCTGAGCATTCTACGGTATCAGAATGAGCGTTGAACGATTCATAGAAAATTTCATGCTCGAATGTTCCTTTGTGTTGAAAATTAGGTGTAACAGTTCTCAGATCTAAGTTCAGATCAAATCTCAAGAACCGTCTGAACAGTTCTTTTGATAGGAACTAAAACTAAACTGTCACACTCCTTTTGAAAATGTTTGAGTAGGACAAGCGTTAAATTACAAGTGATTAAAAAATACTGACGACCACAACATAATTCGTACATGCTTCAACAGTAGTAGTGATAAGATCAAATGTTACTATCATATTTTAAAGCTTCTATCTTATCGATATTTAACAGTAAAAACCAAAATAGAATTCATTAATTATACAAATGCTAACATAGAGTGTAACACTATAGTTGATATCGATTTTCCACGACGGAATTCAAAGAATCTCGTCTAGTACATTCTATTCGTTTCAAAATGCAAAATATACAAGGTTCTTCAGGAGTTGCCATTTCTGGATCATCTTCGCTAGAAAACGGAAGCTTCCAGAGAACAATGAAAAAAGCTATGCATACAATCTTAATGCTCTGAAAACGTATTTTAAAGATTACTCTATAGTTTTCAGTTTGCAACATAACTTGACATAGAACAGCAATCTCTCGTGATTGAGTCGAGTATTTAAAAGCAGGTAAAAAGTAAACTTACGCAACACTACAAAGATCGTTTTTTTTTTAAGATAAAAATATGACTAAAATTAACGTTACTATACGAGTTTAAACTGATATGCTTCACAGAAGATTAGAAAAAAAGTCAACATAGATACTCCCATGCAAAAAAAAAGAAAAATCAAAACTCGACCATAATGGTACTATTATAATAAAATTTTAATAAGATTTTTCAAGCTAAAGATAGATTTCATTTGACTTAATCTTTTTGAATCTGAGTATAATAGTGCCATTATAATCGATTACTCATATGATTTCTAACCGTTTTGTGTTTACATGGGGAAGCAACAGTGCCTTAAAAAATACCATAAAATACAGAAATAGTCTTGTTGTGTGTTCTAATCTGGAATTCCATTGTTTGCTTTTTTCAAAAAAATAGTCATTCGAAAACTTAACTTCAGTCAATTACAGGATAGAAAATGCCTGTTGCGAATGTACTAATCACATAGGTTATTCATCTCAGATTCTGGATTTAGCTCTACTATTGGTACAGAGAACTGTAGAAACATTTAATATCAGTGGAGAATTTAGTAATCGTCATTTCAGGTGTCACTGATTTCATGCACATTGAAGTAACACAATTAAGTAGTTTGAACACTCTTCTGGAATTTTGGATTATGATGCACTCAAAGCAACAACATGTTGGGTGAGAATAAAACCGCACTAGCCGTATAAAACAAAGCATATTTTAGTGTACCCTCATCGATGCTAAAATTTGAAACTCACATAAATCATATAGTCTTGTCAAGTTGATCAAAAATAGATGAAGCGAAGATTTTTAGTTTGGATATAATATATTTATTTACGTCGGTACTACTATCGTAGACTCGTTTCCGGTATCTGTTGTGAGTACGTTTTGCTGTTTTTCTATGCGAATGTGGATTTTTCATAAGTGTAACGTTTGCAGTGGACAGAATGGACTAGGGTACGTGAGAATTCAACGAAAACTTCGCCTTACAACTTACACTCTCTATGTTCTTTCAAAATATATGGAAATTCGATAAAAAATACGATTAAAAATGAAATAAAAAATTGATTATCAAAGCACTATTGCAATCTGGCTAGAATGAAAGTCTCAGTCTAAAAAACAACAAATCCCATTTGATTTTATCTCTACTTAATACGTTCAATAGGGTTTCTGTGTTTGTGTTGAGAGCAAGAAAATGTCAGGATTGAATGAGGTACTTTTGATGCTGAAAATCTCATTAAAATAAGATTTTATTCATGCCGTTATAATCCATTGTTTATCGGATTTTCAAGCCGTGTTTTTAAATGGTTTGGTACAGGAGCGAGTGACCTGAAGTGGTTGATGGATCAGAGATCAAACATTATCTAACTTTTCCTTTTCGATACAGAACTCTCAAAGAAAATTACAAAAATGATATCTACATCGAGTAACTAGAAAGAAAAAAAAATAAGAACTCTTCTAAGAGTTAATAAATAGTGAGCCCGAAAGAAGATTAATAACTTAAATACATAAAATTGCGAAAGATTTTATTAGTTTTGTTCATTAGCAACGTTTTCGATTGATCGATTATTCATTTTTCTGTCGGACTTACTGATCATGTCTTATTAGGTGCATTGTAGTATGTTTGTTACTTCTCGTCTCTTGTTGTAACTCAGGTGATGATTCTCAGAGGAAACATGTGGACATGAATATGAATGTGTACAACACACGATAAATCTTATTGATAATATCGCTGAACTTTGATCAGCAAAGAAATACTCCTGTACATAGACAGATAGATAGATAGGTAACTTAAGTATAGGTAGAAATGCGAATGACAAACGTACTTCTATAGATTTTCCAACAAAGGAATTATTTTTGGCTAAATTAATAAATGAACATTTAAAGAAAATAATAATGAGCAAACGCTGTCTATTAGGAATTTGAAAAAAGGATGGCTTATTTTTAAATTATATATTTTTGTTGTGAGAAGTTTTTGAGCTCAGCATCAAAATATAAATACAAGAAAACTGTACTCTGTGTTTGAAAGTTGATCATGTTAGATGCTCGTAGTAGTGATACAATATTTTATTTGCTTTAACCTCTGTGGCATTCACTTGAATATATTTTTGTAGAGAATAGAACGCTGAATTTTCTTTAAAAATTTCAGTCCGAAACTATGAAAATTGAAAGATATATTCATACAATACTGAGGAAGTCATTTACTGTGAACTACTTATTAATTTCAGCTAGTATTTGACGAAAACTCGAGATGAATGTTACACTTAAAAAATCTATCATTATCATCAACGTAATATTTAGTGCAAAAAAAAGTCAGGCGTATAGCTCTTGTTGCATCGATCTAAACCACCCAGATTTGATAGAACACCTCTACACGTAGACGAAGAGTTCGAGTATGTAGTTGAGTCTTACCCTCGCTCATACCCTCATCACACATTGTCATTTAGTCTTGTTATATGCCTCTATCTTGGTGTTGTTGTTTTTTATTTGCTCCTATCTTCTCGTAAATATGTCCACAATGAAGAAGCATATCATTTTATATCAAAATAGGCTACGATAAGTAAAGAAGAAAGCGTCTGTGCATGAGCAACATGTTAGGTTTCGAAATAAATGCCTTTTCGGATCCGATACTAATTAGTATTGGTACTTTTGCAATTCATCAAGCCACGTTTTGGATCTACAATGGACTTCTTCTACTCTACACTAATGTTCTCTTTCCAAAGCAAGCATATCGATTCAAGATACAAAAGGTAATAGCAACGCTCATTTTCTTTTCCAATCAACTACTAATCAAATTTATTTTCAGAATATTGATGTAGATGCCAAATCTTTGAAATTGTGCGTAAAAACGGTGTTGTTCAATCAAGTATTTATTATGCTTCCTGCACTCATACTCACTTATCCATTGCTGATGCGCCGCGGCATACTTTGGCATCGGCCATTACCACCATGGTAATATTATAAAACAATATTTTGTTTGCATATTTTAGCACTCGTTAAATTACGTGTCGTAGGTATCAGATCCTGTTTGAACTAGCTGGCTTTATTATTACAACTGAAGTTGTCTTTTATTACAGCCATCTTTTTCTTGTAAGAAACAATGCTAAATAATTATTTTACCGTACATATCTTTATATTGAATACTAATTCTATCTTTCGTTTATCTTTAGCATCTGCCAGTGATATACGAACGGGTACACAAGCAACATCATTACTTTCGTGCACCGATTGGCATTGTTTCAGAATATTCTCATCCGATTGAATTCATCGTATCCAGTATGACATCTGTCATAGCAGGTCCTGTGTTATTTCGTTCTCATTTACTTACCACGTGGATTTGGCTTTTGATTGCTGTCGCAGGTACTATAAATCATCATTGTGGCTATCTTATACCCGGTATACTTAGTACTGGTCTAGCCAATCCCAGTTTTCATGACTTTCATCATTCACAATTTACAGCCAACTTCGGACTGTTAGGCATACTCGATCGTCTGCATGGTACTGATAAAGCATGGCGAGCACATAAGCAGAAAACAGAGAAACAGTAAAACGAACAAAATAAATAGAATACTGATCTTTGATTCTATTTTTACTCCGTTCTTGTAGCCATTCGGTTATTTATTTGTGTTCTTATTTATTTTATTTCCTTATTTGTTTTCCTATGAGCTCTATCAATCAGAATCGGGTCTTTGTACAATTCAAACTGTTTCTTTGTAGAAACTGCACAAATAACATATAGATGTTAAAATGTGGCAATATACTATTCTTCGAAGAAATAAAACTATTACTAAGGATACATCACTATGGACGTCAAATTTTTGTTCAGAATATGTCTGTGTCGAAGAGCAATTCAAGAAATTTAGTGTCTTGTCGAAAGCTTCGTCATATATCTGTAGATCATTGTGAATGAGAATATGTGTAATTTTTCACACTTTTACCTTTGGCTATGCCAAATAAAATAGTGAATAAAGTCTACTTTCAAAGCTATTAAAACTTATTGAATGTGGCAGATATATATTTTAAACTATTTTATTGAAAGAGTATCAGCAATTTTCTCAGGTAGTTGTACAATATCTTGCTTAAATGAATTTTATACTTGACCGATCTTGTATTATTGCATCCGAAAAATTCACTAAATACTCAGAGTTCTTTCTTTGATACTCTAAAACACACTACTTCTTTGTTTTGCCCAATGAAAGTCACAAACTTAATTAAGAAGTCAAATAGGAGAGGTTTACAAGCTGCATTGGCAGAATTTTCCCTAGAGTCAGCCAATACTTCAGTAAATAGTCGAGTATATAATAGAAGAGAAAAGCATTTTGATTCTTAATATGCAATTTTGGTTTTTCGCTTGAAGCTGAAAGTGACTGGGCATGAATCATTTGTAACTATCGAGGGAGAAAGTGTGTCAATATCGACTTGCCGTCAAATGCAGTGTCTTATTTTTTTAGAAGAGATTCTGTTCTGTCGGCATTCAATTCAACTACACTGTTAAATAGAATCTATTTAAAATTTCCCAGGTCGATCATGCCGGTCACCGAATACTGTATGAACCGGCTGGAAAGATACGGAAAAATCATCGTATTTCGTGGAAAAACATGGTAAGTCGCCGGAAGTTGATCAGAATCTACCAGAAAAAAATCCGTGGATTTCCAGCCGGAATACTGCAGACACCTTCGGGCGATTTCCGGCATTTTCCGGTCGTTTCCCGCCGTACTGCCACGACCTGGGATTACAGTACTGCTTGGGATCAGCAATCTTAAAATTTCAGAAATCGGGGGATTCAGATATGTTTCCTGAATCGAGCTATTTCATTAATCACGAAATACATTTTTTGTCAGCGCTGGTGTTTTTGGCACACACTGAACATAAAACCGAACTAATTGGCTGCTTAAAAATAAAGATTAATATACTTTATTCGAAATAGTACTTTAAAGATGAAGTCGAATGAAACAAAATCGAAAGGATAAATATTACTAAACTAGATCAGAAAGATAAAAATTATATTTTACTCAACAAGAAAAACAACGAATGATTCGATAATGATAGTTAACTATTTGAAAATAGTGATAAATATATGAATTCCTACAGATTCAAGTTGATATAAAATTTATTTTTGTATCACAACAAGCTATAGTCATTCTTTCAATGATTCTACAATACATAAATTGCATAGGTATAAGTGTAGTTCTAAATGAAAGGGAGGGCCAACACCCACATTCTCTTTACAGCAAGTACACTGAATGTGCATTTGATTGCGAACTACACCTGCATAACATATTTCTTTTTTTTTATTCATTTCTTACTTCATTTTGGTAGTTTCTGTTTTTATTTTGATAAATAAACTATTCTAGTGCTTAGAGGTTACCATAAGCACAGAGGTTTCTTAATAATAAGAGTAAAATTTTGATATATGATACATGGGATGATACTAACTTCTAATTGATTGGCAATGGTGAAAATTTATTCATTACTTACTCATAAATATATGTTATTAGGGTAAACCGAATTGAGTCGAACATAAACTGAACTATTGCTGCAAATATCAAAGGTAAGTGAAGATACTATTACAAGGGGCATGTAGTTTGTTTCAGTTTCTGATCGTTGTTTATTAACGTGAAAAAAAAACGAGTCAAGCAAATGAGATCAAGTGTCACAGAAAGTTTCAAACTCTTTTACCTTCAGAAACAATTGCGACTAAGCCTGCCCACTAAAAATATTGATGTTCAGCTACGATAAACAACTGCTTTTATATGTCCATATAATAATGAGCGAGCTGTTTTCTCTTTTTTAAATGAAAAAGACTACTTTTATTTCAACAAAAATTCGTTCGTAAAACTCAAGTAGTTTATATAATTCATGGTGCATGTTTATGCATCATAAGGTACTCATACAGCATACATAATGTGATGGGCACGAACGTTGATATGGAAAAGTGTGGATGAAGTCAATGAGGATTAGATATTGGCCTGTGTGCTGGTCACACTTATTTTTACAGATGCATTAAAAATTTTCATTTTAGAACCAACCCCAATCACACTAGCGAAGTCAAACACACACCCTTGCACTACTTCTGCATCTATATTATTGCGTGGATTTTCTCGAGTATTTCAAAAAAAGCTATTCACCGATTGAATGAAGAAATTCTTCACTCTAAATTCTCATTTCTTATGCGCCATTATTTTGGTTTTGTAATAAATGGGTAAGTCCGTGGGACTCCTACCACTTTTTGGAAAAAGGTTTTTTTCTCAATTTTTTTTCGCGGAAATGACCAAACAGAGCTAGAAAGAGTGTTTCTTCAAAAACAAATGGTAACTTTTCTGATAAAAGTTGTGACTTCTAGGTCGTTTTCTCGGTACACATCGTTGTGTTTGAAGAGCTCTAGTGACTGCACATTAATAGAAGTGAACCAAACAGATGAATGAGATCTTCCAGATCCTTTTGTTTTTCATGAATTGATCAAAGGACTCCAAGAAACGTTTTCTATCGCAAAAACCAGGAGTAACTTCTAACGAAAATAAGGATGGGGGTTTTGTGGAGAAATCGGTCGCCTTGAAAAATGTGATAATACCTGTCTAGAACTCTTATAAACAATACTTTTAGTGTATTCATTCCTTAAAAGCTTGATTTTCCAGTGACTAAGCCAGTAGAATCAGTCCATGAATGCTGCATGTACACAGAGTCTAATCATTAATAGTAATCAGAGTTTTCATCAAGCAAAACCGTGACCAGTCGAGCTAATATTAGCATGACTCGATAGACCTTTTCAAGTGCTACAGTTTGGTATCTGATAATATACGAGAAATATTGATCGATAGGAATTCGTATAGATCGTTTCTACGTTGTGTATGTAAAAAATTAGTAATTATTTTAGTTACTTATTGAAAAAATTGAGGGGTGCCCAAGGGCTGAGAATTAGGAATTCCTCTTCAGTTTCCCTACAGTTCATTGCGTACTGAAGATAAAAAAATGGAATATTCACAATAATTTTTGTTCTCAGACAAATCTTCACCTACAAAATTGTGAGAATCAATAGTTCCGTGCACAAATTATATAAAAAAAGAGTAATATCGCGACTTTCGTGAATGGTGGAATTGTGAGCGAACCAATGGTTGATTCCTATTTTCTCTACGAATTATCACAGCGGCACTAACAATTCCTCGGCAGATTAGGACTTCCTATTTCTCAGTTCTTGGGCACTGCTGTCAAAATAACGATATGTACCGAGAAAACGACCTAGAAGTCACAACTTTTATTAGAAAGGTTACCATTTGTTTTTGATGAAACACGTTTTCTAGCTCTGTTTGGTCATTTCCGCGAAAAAATTGAGAAAGAAACTTTTCCCAAAAAGTGGTAGGATTCCCATGGACTCACCCTATACTAATACTTAGCCACGTGATAATTACTTTGTAATTATGAAATACAATCTGTATTGGGGTTGCTTATCATACCCACACCTACACCCAGAATTTCCACTCGAAATACTTAGATATGTATCTGAGGTCAAATAACTTATTTGTGATCTCTAGACCATTTCGAATAATTGAAAAGATGTAAGCTGCCTTATGAGTCGCTTCAGCAAAGATGAAACCGGCCGTAGTATGCTAAAACGCACCCACCCACACCCACACCCCAAATTTGAAATCACAATCATCGTCTTATAGTTGTGAGTATTCAATAACACCATCTTACTCTTCTTTAATTAGGCTGTAGCAAGTTTATTAATGAGACTTTCGTGCGTATCCTGTTGCCCGTAAAATGACAATGCAATCATTATAATGGATCACAATTGTAACGAACAACTTGATTAGAGTAGCTTGTGCCACTCTCGGCAAAGATATTTATTAGGCTACTTCAAGTTATCCAGAGTGTAACGACAAAACTAGAGAGTGTCGCCTATGTCCGTCGGCATGATGGTGTATTGTGTCATCTGACATCTCCAGAGTGTAACAACTTCATACATGACGCACGTATATATAGGAGAGAGATAGAAGAGAGACAGGAGAGAGATACATTAGAACAATGGAATGAGAACAGAAAGAGAAGGAAGGAGAGTCATCGAAGCGTGCCATCAATATCGACACAACAATATATCCATCTTCGTTTCAGTTATCAAGTTCTTACCCATGTAATAAAAGCCGCATGAAAATCGGCAGTTAACCGCGGTTTTACCGATCCGGTTACCGGCTCCCATTACCGCAGAACGGATAAAATACCGCAGTTTACCGCAAAAAATGATCCGGTATTCGCAACATGGGTAAACTTCAGAAAAAAGAAGAAAACAAGTTTGGTACTAATTATTATTTCGATTGTGATGCTTCTGAGATGTTTAAAATAAATGCAACAACATTGATTTCGAACTCTGCACTGCGAATCTAATTAGTTCTTCTGTTGAACATTCGCGAAAACATTTATTGCATACATCAGCATATTCTTAAATCGATCTTTCCATCCAGTGATTGGATATGTAATGACATGTTTTTCAAGTTGATAAGTCGGCGGACCTGTTTTACTCATTGATAAACCAGCTGCTATTTCAACTCGTTTCAAAAAATCAAGTTTTGTCTCACCAGACGAAACAGTCATTGGAGGTAACCAAGGAAGATTTTTAAATGTAACAGTTCCGTTATTCATTACTTCATTTTTGTTCTCAGCACTTATATTTTTTAATTGTTCAATTGTACATAATTCATACCATATTGTAAGTCGAGATTTTGATACTTGAGGATAAATAACTCGATGAATACCTGGTTTAAGACGATTTTCTGTTATTCTAGATGCTGCTTCTCCTAACCATATAACACCCATATTCGTTTCCAAAGGCCCATCTACCCATTCGTTACTGATCAGATTTTTCAACTGAAGTCCTTCATGTGTCGATAGAATACTAATTGAAAGTAGACCTGGATCATAATGTGGAACGCAATTAACTTCTTCAGTTGTTTGTCCATCTTTAGGTGGTTGAAAACCACTTTTTACATTGAAATAGTTTACAATATCAAGCATACCAAAATGTTCATCTTGTAAAGGAAGATCAGCACGTCCAATGAGAGATAATAAAGATGGTTCCTGTTGAAATACTGAATTCTGATCAAGAAGTTCAATCAAACGCTTTGTTACAGCATCGAATACTTGTGAAAGATAATTTAATGGTTCTACAAGTGTTATTGGTACTAATGCTTTACTTGCAAATTGACCAAAATAGCTTCCAGTCAAGAGTTTGATACCTTCTTTATGATTCACTTTTGAGTAGCCATAAATTTGCTGCCGTTGCGAAAATACACTCTTAGCATCGTAAAATTCAAAAAACTTTAACAGTTTTTTGGTTAAATTTGAATTCAAAATGAGTTCATTTGGTAGAAGAACAAAACACCAACCGTTCGATTCGAATTCAGTTTCCATTCGTTTTATTTCTGAAGTATCTTCATAATTTTATATTTTATTTAAATCAATAATAACTTGAGATTTCTTGAGTAATGCAGACATTTTCCGTAGCCGTTTATATAAAATTGAAGATTCTGTTACTCCGTGGTTGTGTTACTTTATAAACAGAACTGCCATTGCGCAACTTTTTCTTCTACTTTGACGACACATCATCAATCGATGACTCATCAAGGCAGATTTTCAAAAGAACAAATCAGCTGTATGAAGGTCGAATATTTTTCAATGAGTCGCACTGGAGATGTCTTCCCATAACTTCATCACTGTTTGTCTAACATGCATCACATATTAAAAAATAATATTTCACGATTTTCAAACGAGCGAATGGTAAAAGCAAATATTAATCAGTAATGTATTCCTCCAGAAACAAGTCATATATATAATCATGGTGTGCTGTCGTTGAACAGCTAAGCTACTAATCATCTATAATCATCAGTCATTCAGAAATCTTCGATCGCCATGCATCCGGAAAAATCCAATCACAGCATAATTAATCGTTTAGCTTTCGCCAAATGGTAATAATGCTGTCTTCTCTTTTTTTAATATTTGTTCGCTAATTCCTACATGATACAAGAGATAGATAATAAATTGATTCATTTCAAAACACAATCACCCTTTTGTATGCTAGCGAAACAGAAAAATATTGGATTTAAAATTCTTACTGTTTATATATTGCAATAATTCAGAAGTACAATAGTTAGAGGAGTAAACTCGATAGGCTATGTTATTGCCGAATAGTTATCTATGAAATGCCACATGATGGCTATTATTTTCAAAGTTGCGAAAAAATTTGTATAGCCTTGAGATTCAACAATATTGTTCTAGTTTCGACTATTGAAATATTGATTCTAGATTTTCCATTTTTCAACAGAAAAGTACTATCTACAAGAAAGTATCGAACAGAATTATTTCTTGGTTCTATTTATGTAAAGTGCTCTTTTTTGGTTCTGACTTGGTGTCCTTTTTAGTGCCTAGGAATATGTTTAGAACTAAATAAAACTCATAAAACTGTAGAGAAGAATGGCCATGGTCGCCTTTTTTTAAGACAATATGATCTGCAAAAGAGTTGATAAACGCTTGAAGAAATAGAATGAATGCAATATATACTTTCTTTAATTCCTTATATATGTGAGTTTGAATCGTATTTTATTTGTAGAATTGATACGAAAAACGAGCGTTCGTATAATAAAAACGAATTTCATATTCTCATAGGGCTTAGCTTTCATTTGACTGAGATATTCCATTTTACCATTACGAAACATTCAGACTCAGTCTTCTAGTACCTTAGTATTAAGACATGCAAACAACTTGACTTCTTACGCAAATCGATCAATCCCTTTACGAGATATTTAAGTCACAAAATTCAAAAGATGACAACGTGCGTGATAAATGGATATTTTTCGAATGTTTCGTAGAGACAGCATTTTAACAAAAAACTAAAGTCACAAACCCTCAACAATCATAATTCAGGATAGAAATCAAGTAAATTACTGAAGTTTTTTTTATAAATGTATGGCGAGCTTAACGTAAATGAAGCTTTAAAGGAGTAGATATTTATCGTTTGGTACCGTTGATAGAATTGTACAAAACGGAATATGATTTGCTCGTCAATTTTCTTTTAGGGAATTGTATCCCAAACCTAATGTATCAATGTTTCTATATTCACCGATATAGATAGAGCTATTCTTTCAATAAGATATCCTTTCTGCTGTTATTCCTTGCATTTTCGTTATACTCTGCTAGTGCACTAGTCAACTCTCCCTAGAAGAATCCCCAGGGAGTCCCCGGGGATTTGTCAGGGGACTCCCTGGGGATTCTTCTAGGGAGAGTTGACTAGGGTTTAAAATCGCTTGCTCTCGCAGTGTGTAGGCAGACGATGAATAATAAGAAGAAAAAGTTTGTAGTCGTATATAACTCAATGCCTCAACTTTGCAGTTTGACGTTTGTTGACATTTGCTGAACGACAAAACGAAACATCGAATAGATGGAGGTAAGTAAAGCTTGATCACTGCTATTCATTTCATACACAGGGAAACAATGCTTTATTAGCAAAAACGTTTTCGACTTTTGATAAGTATTTTTCAATTTATAGAACTCAAATTGAGGACATTCTTGATTGTATCGAGAGAAGATGCTTTTTCCTTTTTAAAATCACATCCTCACCCTCACAATATCTTGCCCGATGGACTCGATATACACGAATGTATAACCAATTCGTGCCATATAGCACTTTTGTTTTGAATTGCTAACTTAAAAACTATACGTTGGAAAAAGAAATTGCAATCGGAAATATTTGCTAAATTCATTTTACTATCCACGTTAAACAATATTTGATCGATCAGAGTAGATTCTATTTATTGTAAAAAGTCTGAAATCAAAGCAGGTAACTAGTTTACCAGCTACAATAGAATAAGCCCAATGAATGTTTAAATAATATTTATCAATGAGGATAAATACGTTATAACTAAAAAAATAACTTCGAGTTTTTTTCGGACGACTCAAACTATTGCTCGTGTTTTCCAACTGAAGAAAACAATTTCGTGTTTAATCACCTCTACAAACTCGCAGGTTTCTGTGGTAGAGCAATAAAATAAGGCATAGTCTCTAAGAACTTTTCGTAAAAATCGGAGTTTAAGTTATTAGTAAAATATTCAAAATTCATGCAATATTGCCGTCAGAAAACTCATATGGAGCCATTTCACGGATTCCTTATGCGCTTAGCGACCTGACAGGAAGTACTGAAAAGTCTTATAGAAAAGGTTACCTAAGATTATGAAGAAAAAAATTAATTTTAGAAAGATTCAACGCATCCGTCAAAACACATTCTCGATCTTCTTTGTAGCGTTTTCAATGAAAAAAGTGCGTTAAATGTCTAGGAAAAATAGGTGGCATTAAGAAAATGAATTGAAACGCTGTTTTGTACAAGTTGTTTTTGTGAGCCATCAGAACAATTTATTTATGTTCAAAAGTACCTTGATAAAGAACAATTATCAGCCAGTAATTACTCGATAGATGATCCAGGTGAAGATATTTTGGCAAAAGGATATTAAAGTAAACAAACTCCAATCGACAAGAACAACTATAAACGCAACATGATATAAAAACACGTGCACTGCAATATTTGCCGTTATCTTTTTTTTTACAAGTAATTTTTTTCCAAATTGAAGCTGCATATCATATATGAGTGCTGACAACAAAATGTTATCTTATCAAGTCTTAGCTATGAGAGAGCTTGCTGCGTGATGTTACTTGATTGTAGATGCAAACAGAAAATGTTCTTATGCAGGCTATTATATAGTTTGTGTTGCGCGTGAAACCTTTTAAAAGTAGGATTGATTTATATTGATTATCCAGAAATATAAGTAGATCTGCATAGTAGTTGATCACATTGCTTGACTATACTATTTAAGGTCAACATTTTTCGCTATCGAGGCATTCACGAGCCGTGTAAAGACTACTCTGTGAAACTGTAGACGCTTCTTAAGAAGTTTTCCGAGACTGGCAATGCAAAGATCTTCAAAAAACCGGTAGAAAAATGTATGCCCGAGTAGATTGAATTGAAATCACTATTTATGTACTCTCAAGAAATTTTTGCTCACGAAATAGTTGTGTCAATATTGGTAACGCTAAATTATGTACGAAGCTAGTTAAATACTATTTCTCATAAATCCGGTAACAATAGTTTATCCTTGTCCCTGATGTGTGAAAAACTAGAGGACAGAGTTGTGTCGTTCTCAACTACTCTCTTCTTGTCATTGGTCATCTTCTTCTTTCCTTCTGTTCGGCCAAGGCGATTATAATAGCATCGATGTATCAATTCTCTTTTATAATTAGCCTTCCTGTTACTCGGATATACATCCATTTCTTCCTTTTTCTTCTTTCTCGGTGGCGTATATAAGCGTATGTTTTGTATTAGATGAATACACGTGGATGTAGAGTATAGTTGAATAAATATAGTGTAGTAAAACACTAAACTATGCCTCTCCATTTGTCATAACGATTTAGAATGAAGTAGCTCGACTAACATTAGTGCCGCGTATAACGGTAGAGGTAAGCTTTTTCTCTTTTTCGCTGCAATAGTTTCTTTTACGAAATGTCTATTTTTCCAAATACTTGAATCTGAAAAGAGCTAAAAGATCAGTTTTCATCTTTTGGCCAGTATCAACGCTTATCTAGTACAAATACAGTTTACTTGAAGTAGTAGGTGCGACTTTTCCAATTATAAAAATGATTGATTTCACTGTCGAGTCGAAGATCAGTGTCATGTTTGCTAATTTTTGTTTAGTTTTTCTCAAAGGTTAAACAAACGACCAATCAAATTAATGCAATGTTATTAATGTATCATCAGATGCTACATCTATTTATACTTATATTAATATTGAACAATGCAATCGCGAGTGCCGACTGGGATTATGGTAAGCATGGGCCTGACGTTTGGAAAAAAAACTATGTAGCGTGTGGTGGGAAAAACCAATCGCCAATTAATATTCGAACAAAATGTACAGTCTCCCAAACTTTTAGCCGATTCGAGTTAACATCTATTTATTACGAACCAGTCAAGTTCAAACTCACAAATAATGGACATACAATAACAGCAGTACCGAATAGTCCAACACCAATATCATTAACGGGTGGAAATTTGAAGGGAAGATATATTTTTGATAGTTTTCATCTTCATTGGGGACCGAATGACAATAGTGGAAGTGAACATCAGGTGTAAGTATATGAATCGGAAGCAGTCATGACCTTGAACTAGGGACGTGAATTTACTGTTATTGTTATTGTTATCAATAACAGATAAATAACAAATAACTTTTTTTTTCTAAAAAAGATTCTGTCTCAGCTAGCTGAATATTCTAATTGTATCCGATATATGAGCTTATAATTACTAGAGAACACATTTTTAACTTCAATAGTGCTAATTCGCATGGTATAACCAATATAAACAGTAAACTCAGTTTTCAGAAAAAAAAAGTTATTTGTTGTTTATCTGCTATTTATAATAAATAACTATCGAGAAAAGATATTGCTATTGTTGTTAATAACAACAAGATAACAATAACTTCTCACCCCTACCTTGAACACAGTAAGAGAAAAATGTTGAGATGAATTCTAAGAAATTGATAACGTGCTCTTAATTAACCACTAATTCGTACATTTTTCTTCACCCCGTTATAGATTACATTGATTTGTAAATTATTACCATTTTATCATCGTTTCTAAACTGTTATAATAATTAGTCAGAATTTCTTTCAGACCAAAAGAAATCGAATTTACCATTTCAATCAATTTGCTGAAGAATTGAATATTGCTAAAAAAAACAAAGGAAACTAGTTTATGTCAGTCTGTTGACGTTCTGTGGCCTCGTTTCGTGAATTTCAGCTAACTTTTTTTGTTTTTTAGATTGGTGACTCATAGAATTCAACATTTCACCAGAAAAATTGAGACCTGGGCTTCGATTTTTCGTTATTCACCACCCTGAAGCTTTATCAATAAATCAATGACTGAGAATATTTTTCGATTTTTAACCCTTTCCGGCCCGGTGTTGCCATATGGCAACATTTTCCCCAGGGGGGTACGACAATTTCCAAACAGCGGGCTGGAAAGGGTTAAGAAAATCCTATTCTAACTTACAATATATTTTGGTACATAAGCGAATGAGGAAGAATAACTATTCATATGAAGCACAAGTACTTATTGAAAAATATGTCCATTTAGGAATGGTGATAAATCTGCTGGTGAAAGTCATTTTGTGTATCATCACGCTGAAACAGGTCAGCTTGCTGTCTTGGGCTTTTTAATGGAAACCGAAGATAGCACAAGGCATCAAGTGTATCCGAGAAATAGATCAAAAGCTGTTGCAATGGAGCAACATTGGCAAACTTATTTTGATACTGCACGTCATCTAATGGAGGAAAATAGTTCTGCCACAGTTGATTTAACTTTGAATTTACTTATGGGAAGCAATTTAACTGAATTTTGGCGATATGAAGGATCGTTGACTACACCATCATGCAAAGAAAATGTTACTTGGACCGTATTCCGACAACCGATTTTGATTTTCGGCTATGATTTTGAAGCTTTTCGTGATGATTTATTTTTTGAAAGTTATCGTGGTCCACAGCCACTGTATCATCGACAAGTCTATCGAAGTTTTCTCAACGAAAAGCTGTCACCAATACCCGACGAAAACGTTTGTATAAATAAATCGGAAGCAGGATTGTTCTTCGATATCTTTCATCAAACAACCATATGTGTGTTACATTTTAGTTTTCTGGCTTTTTATCGATTATTCTACTTGAACTAATTTATATTGACATAACTTTTGCAACTAATCTTACTATCATATCTTGAGGGTGTGTGCTTAGAAATTCGAATGCCGTACCACGACAACAGTTGTTTCTGTCTTGGCTTGACTTCATCAGGTGGTGTTCTCAATATTATATTAACTTAGATAGTAATTCTTAAAGTTTTTCTTGAGGGTGCGAATCAGGGTTGCCACCTCTTCCGCTTTTTGCGGAAAGTTTCCGCTTTTTTCCTTTTTTTCCGCTTTTTTTCCGCAGTTCCGCTTTTTCCGCTTTTTTACTTTTTTACTTTTTTTTCCTTTTTTCCACTTTTTCGTATAAAACATGTTACAAGTTGAAAATGCATCCAGAATAAAACCTGCAATTGTTGAAGCAATTCTTATTGCTTGCACATACAGTGAGTCATCGCTATTATTTTCTGATTCATAAAATCAGTGGAAGAAGAACACTAAAACTTTTTCTATGTAAGAGAGGCTGTGCTCTAATTTTCTATTCGTAAAGTAAAAACACCAGTCTGTTCTCAACTGATAGTGAATTATTTTCAACTAATTGTATATACTATATCTACATAAAAGAACCGCAAACCCAATAGTTTAAACAAAATTTCTGTAAGTTATGGATAGTGAGATAATAATTGAAGATGATAATGATGATAATGATAATAATCATGAAGAATCGATACCAACAACACCAGTTTTAAAATCGAATGAAAATAAAAATGTCAAAGCCGCCTCAAATACTTGTGAAAAGAAGAAAAAAAAGGGCGTGTTTAATCTACAGTGGCTACTTGATTCTCAACTCGGATCATTTTTACGAGAGTACAAACCGGATTCAACTAAAGCTCTCTGCATTGCCTGCAATGAAAAATTTTCAATCCATTATGGTGGAAAGAATGATATTGATCGGCATATAAAGTTGAAAAGACACATCCATAACATGAAATCATTTAGTATAAATCGACAATTGATAACGTCAACAATGAAGCCAAATAAAGAGAGTGAAGAAGTAGCAGCTGCAGAAGGTACTTTTGTATACCATGGAGTGAAACATGGTCATTCTTATTCATCTCAACAATGCACCACAAATGTCATCAAAACAATTTTTTCATCTTGTTCTGCAATTGGAAAATCGATGTCATGTGGACGAACAAAATGCTCATCCATTGCACTTAATGTTTTAGCTCCATATTTCACTCAACAAATTTTAATTGAAGTGAAAGAAGCATGTTTTTTTTCGATCATGTTCGATGCATCGAACAAAGGAAATACAAAGCTTTTTCCAGTTTGTGTGCAATATTTTTCAAAGTTTGGGGTGAAAAAAGGTTTCTATGCTTCAGTTCAGGCTTTTCCACAAACGTTAATCTTTGATTTTTCTATACTTAACAGGTATAATTGATTTGATCGACGATGCTGATGAATCAGCCACGAATACCTTTGAAAATCTTGAGGCTGCAATTAAAAAATCTGGTTTGTCCTTGGAAGGTCTTACATCGATTGGAGCTGATAATACAAATGTTAACATGGACAATACTCATAGTGTCTATACATTATTTCATGATCAAGTTGAAAATCTATTTAAAGGTAAACTGAGTCAAAGAGTGCCAGTATATCGTCAATTTATAATTGATTCATTAAGGAAATTGTTATTGTCACATTCTGCATAACGGGGTGAAGTGGGGTCATCAGCAATTGACCGTTGACGTTGAAAAATTTCTTATGATGGTCTACGCTCATTTTTCTCGTTCAACTAAGAGAGTTCAAGAACTCAAAAGTTACTATGAATTCTATGAAAACAATTTTCAGGTAAGGTATTCTTGACTACGGAGTATACACTAGGAAAGACTAACAGAACAGTATTTTCTTATAATGTTTTTCAGGTCTTGATTAAGCACATCAAAATTCGATGGTTATCGTTGTATTTATCGATTGATCGTTTATTACTTGTCTACAAACTAGTAAAGGAGTATTTCACAGATCAATCAAACAGAGAAACTCCTAAAGAATTAGAAAAAAATTTTCAATCTGAAGAAACATTATGTATATTAACATTTTTACACCATATTCTTTTTGAAATTCAGAAAACTAACTTGGAATTACAAAAGAAGTCTATTACAGCAATTGATTTATATCGAATAATAACATCAATTCAATACAAACTCAAACAGCGACTTGACACTTCTTTTTTTGGAATTCAATGTCGAAATCTATTAAATTGAATGTCATCTGATACTAGTGCCGAACTACAAGCTTCTTTCAAACGATTCATCTTGACATTTTTAGAGTATATCGACAAATATTTCTCACAAAACGTTGCTTTTCTAGAAGCTATTGGACACTTCGGTTATGGCATTGAAAATCTTACTTGGAATCAGGTTCAAAAATGTATCGAAATTACGAAAATCAAAGGTTTGAACGAAGATGACTTGTTCAACGAGTTCACTGAATTAAAATTGGCTTTCGAAATGATTCAGAAAAAAGAAGTACCATTACTAGATCAGATTCAAATTTTTCTTTCCAATGAAGGACAAGAAGAAATTCGTAACTCATCAACAACGTCAATTCATCAAAGTGAATCTGACGAAGAAGATGAGGAAGAACAAACAAAAGTAATTCGGTCAGATCAACTTTGGGCAATGCTACTTGCTGTTAATGCTACACCGACACCAAATATGAAGAAATTGATCTGTTTTTTGTACTCGATTCCAGCTAGTAATGCTTATGTCGAAAGTATTTTTTCTGACATGAAGCATTTACTTAGTGATTCTCGTAATCGAATGTCAGTCGATCTAGTATCTGCTGAGTTACAAATTCGTCGAAATTCCTCATTGTCATGTACTGATATGCATCAATATTTGCTATCCGATAAAGAGTTACTGGGAGCAATCAGTTGTAACAACAAATATGCATTCAAAAAACAGCGCGTCCAGTAAAATTTATATTTTTTTCATTTTGTCTTTTATATGTTTTGAAATTTTGCTGAAATAAAACGAAATACCATAGATATAGATATGAAAAACTGCCTCATATTCTCAGAAATGCTAAAAATCTATAAAAAAATAGGTTTCCGCTTTTTTTGTTTTTAGTTTCCGCTATTTTCCGCTTTTTAAGTTCAGCTTTCCGCTTTTTGGACTTCGTCAGGTGGCAACCCTGTTAATGATAATATTAAAAATGGAATTTTTATTGATGCTGTATCAATTCGTACATTATTACCACTAGGTTATGAAGATATTAGTACATATCCAATTGATCAATCAAATAATTCATCATGCAGTTTTCCATTTTATTATAATGGAAGTAGTTATACAGCATGTACATTAGATAATAATAATATACCAATATGTGCTGATAGTACTAATCAAACATATCAATGTCAAAGTTCATCGATTGAAGGTGTACGAAGACTGTATCCTAAACATCAATTAATATATAATTCATCACAAGTAACATATTCATCAGTTAATTCACAGCTTACAATTAATTTTCGATACAGTGATTGCTCAAGACCAACTTTATTTACATCATGGCCAACATCAGTAAAAATCTTTGAACTATTTAATTAATTTATTGATAATTTTATTTATTCTAGAGTACAACAGTGAATCGAGCATCAGCAGCATCAGATGCAGCTAGTGGAACATATGATCTTGTATTTAATTCACAAACATATTCATCAATACCAGTTGATATTTCTGCAACAGATTTAGCTAATCGATTGCAATCATCATCTGATTTTGGTTATTTAAATGTAACACGTACTGGTGATTGTTCGGGATATTCATACACAATTGAATGGATTACTAATGGTGGACAAAAATCACCTATTTCAATTACAAATACGGCCTCTATTTTACCAGCTGGTACAACAGTAACACCATCAATTGTACAATCAGGTGGAGTTCTATTTAAACCATTATCCGGAGATATGACACGTACATATCAAACGAATCCACAAGTAATAAAAACAAAACAAAACCAAGAACAATTTATAAATAAATTTTTTTTTCTATTTCAAGGTCGAAGTTTTTGTTGGTGGTTATCCATCAGAATGTATAGGAACTGGTACATGTGATTTTCAATGGTTATCAAGTCAAACTCCAACTGTATCAGCAGTTTCACAAAATAGTATGACATTAACAATTACAGGTACTGGTTTTAGTACAACAACAAATGCAAACAAAGTTATCATCGGAACTTCGGGTTCGTGTACTGTTACATCAGCTACAACAACACAAATTATATGTACTATATCTGCTGCTCCATCTGGTACTTATAATGTTCAAGTTAATGTTGATGGTAAAGGTTTAGCATCAGCTATATCAAGTTTTTCAGTTACGATTCCACTTCAAGTTACATCAATTTCACCATTGCAAGGAGGAGCTGGTTAGTAAATTTCTTTTTTTTTATAATTTTTTTTCGAAAAGAAAAACAAAAATATTGTATTTAAATATAGGTGGTGGATATACTTTAAATATCACTGGAACCGGATTTTCATCATCTTCATCTTCATCCGTTACCATTGATGGTAATTTATGTACAAGTCCAGTAGTATCTGATTTTTCATTAATATCATGTACTGTACCACTAACAACAGCTTTATCAAACACTCAAGTAGATGTTATTGTTACATCTGGTTCAAATACAACTACATCACCAACACAATTTACTTATGATGTTACAAATACACCTTCATTAACATCGGCTAGTCCAAATGTTGTAACTATGTCAGGTGGTCAATTAACATTAACTGGTACAAGTTTTGGTAGTGGTGCAATTTCTGTCTTTATTGGTACAACAACAGCAATAGTTCGTTCAATAACATCAACACAAATTATTGCTGCTTTACCATCATTAGCACCTGGTCTTTATCAAATTAAAGTTTCCACAGCCAATGGTTATGCACGTCCAGCATTACAAATTGAATATCGTTTCTATGTTCAAACAATATCACCACAAATTGGTTCATTGTATGGTGGAAGTGATGTTTATGTACAAGGTGAAGGTTTTGATAATACAACAATAGTTTCATTCACCGATGGTTCAAATGACGTATCATGTGATGTTGTATCTTACCAATCAAATCAAATTTATTGTCAAACAAAAAATGCTGCACCACATGTCATTATATCATCAAATGGTGTTCATCCAACATATGGTAGTGGCTTTGCATGGTCACCACAATTTGCAACTGTACAACAAGGTGCTATTGTTGAATGGCAATGGAGTTCATCAGCACTTTTAACAACATTAGCTTATAAAGTACAACAAGCAATAAATGGTTATTCAACAACACCACAAACAGGTGGTTTTGATTCTGGTAACGCAACTGCATCAGGTACGAAAATTTTTCATTAAAATCATATTCATTATTTTATGATTATGATATATTATTATTTTCTTCTAAGGATCATTTTCATATCAATTTCAAACCGTTGGAACATATTATTATTGGACACCAGCGGTTGATCAATCTGGTTTAATTGTTATGCGTGGTGCTATTAATGTTGTTGCGGCTCAACCACGAACACTTACTGTTAAAGTATCATCAGGATCATTTACTGGTATATACGTTTTATTTTTTTCGTCTTCATCATAATGATTCTAATAAAATATTATTATATTTTTTTTTCTTAAATCTATTTCAGCTCAATCATGTGCTTTTCCATTTACATTTAATTCAGTTACGTATTCAGTATGTACATCAACTAATGATACTCAATCATGGTGTTCACCAACATCAACTTATAATGGTCAACGACTTTATTGTACACCAACAGGTATAAATTCATTTCATTGATTCATTCATAATTATTCTTTTATTTAAAATACTATTTAGCTTCTGTACCATCATCAACATGTGGTTCAAGTTCATTAATTAGTCCAAGCTCATGTTCACAAACAGTTCCATCAAATGTTTTACAATTTTTGTTTACACCATGTACAATTGGTACAGTAAGATCAATATCACCAGTATATGGTCCAGCAGGAACATCAATTACAATAACAGGAACAGATTTTAGTACAACAACATGTGAAAATATTGTTCTTATTGGATCATCATACAAATGTCCAATAACAAGTGCAACATCAACACAAATTACTTGTCAAATTGGTACAAGTTCTTCACTCAATGCAAAGTCAATTCAAAGTTTTAATGTAATTCGAGATCGTCAAGGTACTTTGAGTAATGATGGTCTTATACAATTTCAATTTCAAGCGAAAATTACTAATGTATCACCATTACAAGGTTAATTTCTATTTTTATATTGAAAAAAAAACGAAAAAAAAATTTTTTCTTTCATAGGTTCAACTGCTGGTGGTACACAAATAACAATAACTGGTGATGGTTTTATACCAAGTGATACACGCGTTATTGTTGGTAGTATAGAATATACATCATTCGCAACAATAACTTATTCACAAATACAATTTATAACCCAGCAACCACCATCAGATTATATCGATCATTTAATCCCAATAACAATATTAGTTGGTGAGAATTCAGCTATATGTTCATCAGTATCATGTAACTTTACATGGGCACAAAGTGTAACACCGTATCTTGTCTCAGTTAATCCAACATCAATAAATGGTCCACAAACATTAACATTAATGGGTCAAAATTTAGCAACTAGTAATTCCATAACAACAGCAGATATTCACGTAACTATTGGTGGAGAACAATGTAATGTAACATCCGTATCAAATTCATCAATTATATGTGATATTGGTAATATTCAAGTTGGAGATTATTCAGTTGTTGCATCTATTGATGGTATATTATATCATTTGAAAAGATAAATTCTGTATAAAATTGCTTTCTTTTTCTTTTAGATGTTGGAACTATTGTATCATCACTAATTCTAATATCTGTTGCAACTATTTCAAGTATTTCACCAACATCAGGTAGTATATATGGTGGTGTTCTTCTTACAATCAATGGCAATGGTTTTGCTTATTCATCAAATAATATTCAAATAACTGTTGGTTCAACTAATTGTCCAATAGTTCAAACAACACCTGGACAAGTTCAATGTTTAGTTCCAGCTCAAGGATCAAATACATCACCAGCAACTGTTCGTGTTGTTTCCAATGGTGTCACATTTCCAGGTTCATTTACATTTACATATAATTCAGGTTCAACACCAACAATAACATCCATTAGTCCAACATCAGGAACATCTGGTCAAACATTAACAATATCCGGTTCAAATTTTGTTAATGGACAAACAAGTGTTACAATTGGTGGTGCAATATGTGCAATTAGTAGTGTTTCATCATCATCAATAACATGTACAATTAGTTCAAGTCCAGCTGGAAGTCAATCAGTGATTGTTTCAATTTCATCAATTGGTCAATCCAATTCAAATATTCAATTTCAATATACATTACAAGTGACAAGTATATCAACATCACAAGGTAGTTATGGTGGTGGTCAAGTAGTAACTATTTATGGTGATGGATTTAATACATCAAGTGTAAGTGTTACAATATGTAATCAAGCTTGTCAATCCGTATCTGTGATATCCAATACTCAATTAACTTGTGTAACACCATCAGCAAGTGCTTCTTCAACAGATCGAGCATGTAGTTTAACAGTTACAGTTGGAAGTTTATCACAAAGTGTATCTTATATTTATCAAGCTAATTTAACAGCAACTATAACATCAATAAGTCCAACACGAGGTGGAACTGGTGGTGGTACAACATTAACAATTACTGGTACAAATTTTCCGTAAGTCTCAAAGAATTTTTATTTTGAAAAGAAAAATAAAATTCTTCTTATATATAGAACATCAATCGGTGGAGTAACAGTTAGTATTACTGATGTTCAATGCTCAGTACAAACAGTTTCATCAACATCAATAATTTGTTTAACTGGTAGTTATAATCAAACAACAATTCAAGCATCAGTTATTGTTAGCCTTGGCAATGGTGGTAATGCCGTTGGATCAGCACAATTTCAATATATTGATCTTTGGTCAAGTCCATGGACATGGGGAGGTAATTCACCACCTGAAGAAGGTACTATTGTTTCAATTGATAGTGGAAAAACAGTTTATTTTGATACAACAACACCTATACTTAAAGCTCTTATTATTGATAATGCATCATTAATATTTGATGATAATCAAGATGTTGCATTAAATGCTGAATATATATTAGTTGTTAATGGTGGTCGTTTACAAGTTGGTACAGAAACTAATCCATTTCAACATAAAGGAATCATTACAATGTATGGTCATTTAAGATCAATTGAATTACCAATATGTAAGATTAATTGATTATGAAGAAAATAATTTCTTTGTTTTTTGTTTTTTTAATTTTAGTCGGAGCAAAAGTTTTAGCTGTACGAGATGGTATTCTTGATATGCATGGGCGTGAAGTTATTCGAACATGGGGACGTTTAGCATCTACAGCTACGGCTGGATCAACACAAATAACTCTTCTTCAAAATGTTGATTGGTCAGTAGGAAGTGAAATCATTATTGCAACAACAGGAGATTATTTAAGTCAAGGACAAAGTGAAAAACGTATAATAACAGCTGTATCATCCGATGGACACACATTAACATTAAATTCAGCATTAAATTATGATCATATGGGTATAACACAAACAGTTGGTTCAACATCAGTTGAAATTCGTGCTGAAGTTGGTCTTTTATCACATAATGTTGTTTTTCAGGGTTTGTTTACAATATTTATATTATTTTTTTTTCTTTTTATTTGTTAATATTTCAATTTTAAAAAATAGGTTCAGTTACTGAAACATGGAATGTAACAATTGACGCATGTGAAAGTGGCTTTAATCCAGGTACATGAACCTTTAATATTTGTTCTTTGTTTAGTAGAATAAAAGATTTCTATATTGTATTATAGGTGAATTTGCTGTTCAAACATGTTTTCTTGGTCGATATGGTCAAGAAATTGGTTCTGATCAATTTGGTGCTACTATTATGGGTAGTGCTAGTATGGATAGTTCGGATGGTATTCAACGAGTTATAATTCGCTTATCAAACATTGAAGTAAAATATTTTTCTTGATGTTATTGATTTGTTTGTTTTTAAATTAATCTTTTCATTTACTTTCATAGGTATTTTATGCTGGTCAAGCATTTCGTCTCGGTCGATATCCAGTTCATTTTCATATGAATGGAAATATGAATTTATCATATATTAAATCATCTTCAATTCATCAAACATTTAATCGAGCTGTTAATATTCATGCAACTCATTATCTTACAGTTGAAAATATTGTCATCTATAATGTTATGTACGTACAACAGAATAATAAAGCAATAAATTATTTTCAAATATGTTTTAGGGGTGGAGCTATATTTTTAGAAGATGGTGTTGAAATTGGTAATGTTTTACGTGGTAATTTAGCTGTATTTGTACGTACAAGTTCAAGTTTACTTAATGAAGATGTTACACCAGCTGCTTTTTGGGTAATATAAATGGAAGAACTTTTTTTATCTATTTTTCAATGTTTTTTTTTTGATAGGTTACAAATCCAAATAATACAGTTGAACACAATGCTGTTGCTGGTGGTACACATTTTGGTTATTGGTATCGAATGCTTGAAACACCAGATGGACCATCATTTGCAATGTATCCAAGTTTTTGTCCACATCGACAACCATTTGGTCGATTTTTTAATAATAGTGTACATAGTGTTGGTCGTTTTGGTGTTTGGATATTTCCTGAATATGCACCAACTATTGATGGTAGTTGTTCAGCTGATTCACCCTATCAAGCTGTATTTGATAGGTTAACATCATGGAGAAATAATCGTGGTATAGAATGGGTTATGTCAAGTACAATACAAATAAGAAATACTGTTGTTTTTGATAATCATGATACTGGAATTCGATGTGTAACAGCTATAAATCATCAATCATTAAATCGTCCAAATCTTCGGAATACATTTTATTTTGAAAATAATGGTTCATCAGTTATTAATTCAATAATTATTGGTGATACAGGCACATCTGGAAGTGCTATTGTACCAGGTGAAGGTGGTCTTGTTGGTAAGTTCAAATATTTGAATATGTAAAACAATAAGAAGAAAACAAAAACAAAAATTAAAATTTTATTTCTAGTTATGTGGGATCGTGGTCTCCGTGTAAGAAATATTACATTTATTAATTTTCCAAGTGCATCTACACAAGCTCTTTATGGACCTGTTATTGCTGGACGTTGTACACTTCGTTGTGGAGGTATAATTAGTCAAAATAAAAAAAATCAAATAATACATTTATTATTTAATTTATATTTTAGGTTGGCTAACTAAATTTTCTCAATTATCATTTATCAATGTACAAAATCGAGGTAATTTTCGATGGCCATATGATGGACTATATCAAGATGAAGATGGTACATTATCGGGTGTTGTTGGTGGTATTGTTCTTTCACCTGATGGTCTTTGGAGTACATCAACAACATGTACACAAACACCAAATTTTCTTAATGCTAAAACATGTCCATCATCAGTGGGTCGATGGGTACGATATGCATTTAATAATGCTAATCTAGCACCAAATGGTGAAGCTTTATTTATTTATGATACATCAAATCATTATACAATCGTTTTAAATCTTAAAAAACGATTAACACATCCTGATGGTTATATGATGGATTTATTAACTAGACAAAGTTATTTATTTCAATTTAACGGTGCTAATGTAAATATTTTTCTTGGATTTTATTTTTTTATCTTGAATATATATATCTTTTTTTCTTTTCTTGATTTGGTAGAGTTCAGTTAATTTATCGTATACTGGTGTTGTTTATGATCTAGTACCAGGTGATTATCTTATTATTCGTCATAATATTGATTATATACCTGATCGTGTATATACAACATCATCTTCAATATTAGCAGCTTCATCAAATACACCACTTACAGCTACAAATAACAATGGTGATTGGTATTTTGATAATGCAACAAAAGAATTTTCCTATATTGGTAAGAATTATCTATATCTATTTGTTTTCATAGTATAATAATACTTTGTATATATAATTTAGTTAAAAATCCATCGACAAATACTGGTATGATAGATGTATCAGTGAAATTAAATCTCTACAAATGTCGATATCCAAATTGTGAATTTCCAGCACAACCAGGTCTTGAATTACCAGCGACAGTTCGACCAGTTGATGCTTTATATTGGTCGAATGATTCACATTGGAGTTTTGCACTAGAAGGTTATGGTGGATATGGTAAAATCATAGAATTTTCTTTAGTTTTAATTACTAATAATTTAATTTATGAACAGGAAGTGTTAAACCGAGTGATAATACAAACATATATATTCCACGTGGTGTTTGGCTTGTTATTGATTATCCATTACCTCGTATTCGTTCATTACGTATTGATGGTGTACTTGAATTTGAACAAGTATTACTTTTCAAAAATTATTATTAAAATTTTAAAAAAATATTTTTTTTTTAGGACATGAATAATACTCTTTATGTTGATAGTATTTTAATTAATGGTGGTCAATTAATTGTCGGTTAGTAATTATTTTTCTTTGATTAAATATATTATTTATAAATTCTAATTTTTCTAGGTTGGCCTAATAATCCACTTCGATCTAAAGTTGATATTATAATAACGGGTTCATCATCAGTTAATGTTTTATTACCTAATAATGCTGGATCAATTGGACAGAAAGTAATTGGTGTTCTTGGTGGTCTTGATTTACATGGTATGCATCGTAATGTTTCTTGGACTCGTCTTGCAACAACAGCATCAGCCGGTCAAAATTCTATTACATTAAGTGAACCAGTAGATTGGCTTGTTGGTGATGAAATTATTTTAACAACAACAGATACAAGAATTGATCATGTTGAACGACATAATATAACTGGTATTAGTGGTGGTGGTACAATTATAACATTAACTGGAGCTCTTGCTTATACACATATTGTTTTACATAATGTATTTCCTAATGGTGAAATTTATCATGTAGCTGGTGCTGTTGGTCTTTTAACAAGAAATGTACGTGTTATTAATGGTAATCCATCATTAGATAAAATTGGTTTTCGTATTCTTGTTACTGATTATGCAACAGATGTTTGGAATCCAGTTGGTTCAGAATATTTAACTACTTATTATAAAGGTTATGCACGAATATCTGATACACAATTTATTGGTTTTGGTCAATATATTGATGCTCCGAAAGAAGATCGACGTGAAGGTTTTCATTTATTTAATCTTGGTAGTTGGAATGCATCTCGACCAACTTATATTAATTCATGTTCATTTGATACTGGTTATTATCCAGCGTATGTTATTTTTCAAACAAAAGTTTTTTTTTCTTGTTTATTTGAATTAATATTGTTTGTTTGTTTGTTTTTTTTAGAATTGGAATATGGAGTACAGATGGTGTTCCAATTACAAATAATGTAGTTTATAATACATTTGAATCAGCTATTGTTGTTACAGGATTAAATAATATAATACAAAAAAATCTTGTTTCAACTGTATATTGGTCGGGTCAAGCTCAGCCAGATTTTGCTGCATTTAATACAAATAATGATGGAGCTATTATGTCAACTGCAGCTGATAGTGTAGTTATGAGAGTATGTTATTGTTTTCTTTTTTTCATATGTTTTTTGTTCAATTCATTTTATTCTAGGATAATTTGGTATCTGGTGCTCAACGCTTAGCTTATCGTATTCAAGGAAATTCATGTCCAGGAACTGTTCTACCATCTGGTATAAACAATGATTATGATAATAATGAAGCACATTCAGCCATGTCTGGTATTAATTTATGGTTTTTTGATTCAGGTTTTCAATATGATACTAGTAAGTCATATGAATAAATATAAAAATCAATGAATTATTTTATTTATATTATTATAGGATGTGTATTATTTAAAGGTTTCAAGTAAGTTTAGAATTTTCTTGTGAGTAGATTTGACGTTGACCTTTTTCTTTTGTTGTTATTTTCTAAAAGAACTTATAAAACATGGTATTATGGTTTATATATCAATACACCACACAATATTATTATTGATTCATGTAAAATAGCCGATAGTATCGTTGGCATTTTTACACTAGCCTCAGGTCACGCTGGTAATATTTGTGAAAATAAAATTATTTCATATATAATTCTTATCTTTTTGTTAAGCTGTATCACATGAATTCAGTAATAATTCAATTATAATTCGTAATTCAATGGTTCTTGGTGCCATAACACCAAATGATTGTGATGACATTCCAGATACAACAACACTTAGTGAAAAATTTGGTTCAACAGCTGTACCTAGAGTATCAGGAACACAATCGTCAGGAAGTTCATCTGGTCGAACTGGTATATCCTTTCCATATTTTACTGGTTTTAATATGATCCCAATGCATCCATGGTCAAGTATTGGAAACTATCCAAATAGTAAATTATTTAATTTATATAAAATAATTGATTAATTCTTGTTGTCTTCTATTATTTATAGTTGATGGTTTAATGAGAATAACAAATGTTACATTTGCATTTTTTAATGATATATGTTTACGTCGTGATATAGCTATACAAGTATCACAAAATAATGACGATGGTCAACATCCAGTAGTAACGGACCATACATCCGTTTATAATACATCATCTGGAAATTTAGTTTTTAATGGACGACCAAACTTAGGTGCTGTTAATCCAAGTGATTGTGTTGGTAAGAAGAATTTTTATTTATCTATTTTCTTTAATTAAAAATTTTTTTTTCCTTTTTATACAGATATGGATTGTGACGGTTTAAAAAAGAGTTTACTTATTGATATTGATGGTACTTTCTTTGGTCAACCATCAACTGCTTTTTCTCAAGCTGAATATAATTGGGGTAATAAAAATGTCTTATTCTCTTATTTTGTCTATCTTTCTAATTATAGGTGATCAAGCTCATGGTGTTGGTGATTATCGTATTCCAACAGTTGCATTAGCTAGTGCTAATGGTACTCTGATTAATATAAATATTTCTTATCCATATCGTGGTATTAGTCGTGGACCAACATGCACATATCAACCATCATATCAAATGTATTTATGTCGAAATACAACTGATTATCGTATGTTAGTTATTGAAAGTGTGGATCCTGATACAGAAACACGACGTCTTTCACCTGTTGCTATTATGTCTGATAATGGTTATATTGATTTAATTAATGGTCCACAAGACCATGGTTGGTGTAATGGTTATACATGTCAAAAACGTATATCAACATTTATGGCTATTGTTGAAGGAGGACATCAGTATGATATATATTTAACAAGTACTACACCAAATCATATACGTTTTCGATTACTTAATGCTGATTCATCTATAAAGACAATATTAGCATTATATTATAATTCATTACAACAAGTTGATGTTTATGCTAATGATGTATATATATCACCAACAAATAAAGCACAAAATTTCACAAATTTAATATTACTTGATCAATCAAATGGTGTAACACTGTCATCAACAACACCTGGTACAAATTTCTTTAATAGGTAAAAAATAAATCCTTAATCATTATTTTTTTGAATATTACTTATAGAATAATTATATAATTCAAAAAGCACATAAATCTTTTTCTTTTTAATGTAGAACAACACAAATGGCATTCTTTTTAATTGATGGTGATACTTTAATTGATTTAAAGATAGCAGATTTAATCGTCTTAACATTTGGTTTACCGGCGACAACACCACAACCTTTCTTTTCAACTAATATAGTTGCTAATTTAGCTGCTTTACTCGGTGTTACTGTTGATAAAATTCGACGTGTTGATGTTGTCTCAGCAAATGGCCGAACGTTAGTATTTTCTACATCATTGTTATTTTTATTTATTTTTTCTTTTATTAGTCGTATTCAACGTCGAAGTGCATCATCATCTAGAAGTTTATTAGCAACATACTACCTAGAGGTACAAATACGTGAAGAACCACCCTCAACTTTATCTGGTAATAATCTAGCATTATCTGTAGCAACATACAATCTTAATGCTGAAATTATTAATCGTTATCAATCGGGTAATTTAACAGAACAGTGGCAAAATGATCCAGTTTTAAATGCAACCAGTATAATTGAATTCGGTGTTCAAGAACCGCAAAATCAAACAACAGCATATTTAAGTATGATAAATCAGTTAGTTATAGAAAGGCAACCAGGAATATGTCGTGAACGTTCACCATGTGAAACTCAACCAGTGCTTATTGCTCGTGATAGTGCCGGTCATATTATAACAAAATTAGGTTCAAATGATCAACCATGGCAAATTACTGCTACTATCATTGGATCACCAGGTGTAGGTGTTGTTGGTGGTATAGCTAATTATTCATCTGGACAATCACAATTTACAACTTTTGGTATAAATGCAACTGGTACTTATCAAGTTCAATTTAGTATAATTACACCAAGGGGTATTGATAGGTAAATAAAATAAAAAGAAATAGTTGTTCGTATATTGACTTCTTTTTTTGTAGTTCATTTGTTACAAATATTAATTTAACATCTGATTCATCTTCAATCACAGTTGCACTTCCAAGAATAACTGCTAAACAAGATGTTGATATTGATGTTATATCAAAAAATGAAATCTTTAATCTTACAACCGCTATTGTTGATCAAAAATCACAAGTAAAACTCGACAATATCGCATGGAATACTTTTACATGGTCAGCAGCAGTCTCACTTTACGGTTCACTTCAACATCAAAGCAATGGCATATTAATACAAAATTTATCATCAACAGTTATTATTAATCCACAAAGTGGTACAATAACAGCTACTAATTTAGCAATTAGTGAAGTTGGAGCATACATTATTAAACTTGATATAACAACATCTAATAATCAATATTCAATTCCATTTACTTCAAATTGTATTATAGTTAAAGAAAATTCAAGTAAGTTTTCTATATAAATTTTCGAAACAGAATCATTCATATTGTATCCATTATAATTTCTATAATCTAGCTACTCTTAATGCTATTACTAGTAGTCCATCATCCAATATTACCTATCAAGGTGATTATGATAAATTTGTTACTGCTGGAACATTGGAAACGTTACATTGTACAATCTATAATTATCTAACTGTTGTTAAGAAATTACCTCTTAACACGAATATTATCCTTGCAAAAGGTTCATTATTTTCATATTTCAAAGCTTCTTTTAATTTTTGCCTTTTTGAATCTTTTAGGCAGTGTTAACGTTTTTTATGAGATGGATAATAGTGCAAGTGCTAATCGTAGTCAAATATCATCAGGTTGTTCAGAACTGGCTAGTGATCCCAATGGTATTAGTGATTTAGTACTTTCAAATTTAACTTGTGCAGGTACACAATATACAGTTAAATCATCGTCAATTTCAAGCAGCAGCAGCAGCATTACTGCAAGTAATGCCGGTTTAATTGCTGGTGTTGTTGTAGGTGTATGTGCTGCTCTGGCATTACTTGCAGCTGCCACTTACAGTGCTTATAAATATAAAAAGTTGCCTAGTAGTAAAGTTGCCGGTCAATTCAATGAATTATATGAACCATTAGAACAACCACAATTAGGTAATGCGGCTACCACAAATCCATCGAGTATAGCAAATAGTAGTTCTCAACAAACACGACCTTTATCTGGACAATCACACTTTAATGATCAACGCGTTCATACACCAGTACAAGATGGTGGAATTGTAACTCCAAAGTGCGAGTTAATTGACTTTGCTTGAATTGAACATTACTCATTCAGCTTCCCCCCCCCTCTTTATGAACAATTCAATATAGACATTCTTTTCCTTTTCCTTTTCCTTCTCATATAATGATTTATTTTTCCAAGTAACTCACTAACAAAATATCAATAAAACTATTAACAGAAAATACTTATAAAATGCTACAGTACTTTTGTAGTGAGGCAATATAGATGTTAGCGTTAGTGATGAATCACACTAACGCTACAACGATGAACAAGATGTGCCTTCTAGTCTAATTGGCTTAGGACAACTGCCCGGATAGCAGGAGGTGTGGGTTCGATTCCCATGAAGGTCATCATCTTTTTCATCGTTCTATCACATACCATCAGTGACGCTGCTTTATCTCTTTCGCTCTTCATATATCTCTCTTTCCTTCCTTCCTTCCCTTCCCTTTCTTATATATCTATATATGAGAGCTAACAATAGAGTAATCGAGAAGGCATCTTGCAAGTAACCTTCATATTGTTTCAGATTAAAAAATTCATGATACAAATTTTAGTTATTGCAATCATAATGAAATCTTTTTATCGATTATTCTCTTAGAATTCCATTACCTTTCAATAGGCAATGTCGAGTGTTTATTGATTCCATGAAATGTTCATCGAAAACAATGCATAAATGTGTGAAAACATCCGAGTTCATTGAACAGTAATGATAAATCAGTCATTTTTTCTCGTTGTCATTTTCTGCTTATTTGAGGGAAATTAAGTATTCGTGTGTATTTTGTTCCGTTATTATCTGATATACTTGTCGTTCTATTTTTATGTTTGGTACATTTTAGTACCCTCAATTACATTCGGTAGGGTAATGTCATCGGCATGAACAAAATATTTTCTTTTCACACTATTGTCTGTTAAAAGAATGGTCGTAGCAATTTTTGCAATAACTCAAGACATGAAAGAGCTAAAGAGATACGATTTTCACCATTCAAAAGAGTATGAGACGAAATCATTTTAAAATTAATCAGCTCTGTTATAGATTTGAGGTCCCTCTATTCAAATCACATATTACAAACAAAATTTCATGGGAATGACAGATATTTTTCATGAGTTTTTTTTTGCAATGTTTTGCAGAAATGGTTTACTTTATAACGATTTCATCTTAACAGCCATTTCATTTAAGCTACGACCTATGTTGCTTGTTAGCTACATATGTGAGTCATAGGGAAAGGAAAGGAAATATATAGGTAAAATAGAATAGAGAAAAAGTGATCTTCGTGGGACTCGAACCTAAACCTTCTGCTATTCGGGCAGATGTCCTAATCCAGTTAGACAAGAAGGACCAACTTAATCTCCGTTTAGCGGCAGCCTGTATCATCACTGACGCTAACAGTAATATTCAACTGTCTCAGTAATTTCGACGATTAAAAAATAAAACGATAGTTTTAAATGATTCCATGAACATTCTTTGTCAACAAGTAATCGAAAATCAGAGTTAATCAAAAGCTCAGAAAATTTGAGGCGTCACAAAAGTGAATTCATTATGTTTTATTTATGAGAACTGTAAACATATTTCTATCGTTGTTCTAGTTGTAAATAATAAATAATATTGTTTCAATGATCAAACTACGTGAAAACACCTGTAGAAAATCAAAATTTTCTAAAAAGATTATGCAATAAGAGTAAAAAACAAGCATTCAAAAACAAAATTTCTAAGACTTTTTATGTAAACTAAATTAAAACGAAAAATAAAAATTATGCTTGTCAATATGTGTGTCACACCAAACACTCGATATTTCAATTGACTTGTTGTCTTCAAGTAATCGAAACTTCGATAAATTACGAGTCGTCAAGTCGTATTAGAGAAATCGAAAATAAACGCACGATGGAAACAATGTTTTTGTGACTACTCAATACTTCGAAGTCGATAGTTAAGACAAATCTAGACGTCTCTTAGAAAATTCTCAATAATGCACATATCTATGATTTAAATGTCAAAACCTTCTAACTCAAAATGAAATGATTATGATTAGAATAAGTAGAATGTTAGGATTTCTCTAACTTGGAATTAAAGATATGCACAAAAATAGATATCCTTCAATCAGGTTCATATTTAGTAATATATTCTTATAAAATAATTTTTTTTTTATGAACTTGTATTTGTCTCTTGTTGGACATCTGTAATTGTTGATAAATAAAATACTTCTTTAAAAAAAAAAAATAACGAAATAAGTACGAGAAAAAAAAGTTGGTAAAAAAGCAAAATTTTTTAGTGATCTTCAAATGATGTGTCCATCATTGTTTTTGTATTACATGCTGCCCGCGTTGTATGTTGTAGGTGTGCGTATATCGCTCATTTATGAACATTTCTACACGATCTGAAATTTATCTTTTCTAATGATTTTCTTAATTGATGTATTTGCATCAACACAAAACTGTTCATCGAGATGAAAAAATGACTTTGAAGTTTTTTTTTAAGTGAAGAAAAGAATCGTTGTAATTCTAGTTCAATCTATTAGATTTGTATATAAATGAGATATATTATCTGAATACACGTTCAGCTAATGAATATTTGAAAAGCAAAAGTATAATAGCAAATAATATTTTGTAATTTCTTTTTAAATAGATAATTAAATTGATATTTGAAAAATTTATTAAAACTTAACAGCTCTTTTCTGATATATGTTCATAAATCGATTGTTACATGAACATAATAATAAAGTTAATGAAATCTTATAGAACCTTTTCGAAATATCAAGACTAGAGAAAAATATTTGTTTCTTCTTTTCAGAACAAGAAATCAGCTTCAATAGTTTCCAAAAGAGAACATTTAGAAAAAGATCTAAAACAAACAATCGAATATAAATCACTATTTCAAAATTGATTTCCTTTCTGTTTCAGATACTATAAATACGACCATTACATATTTCTCAAGACTCAATAATGATATAAGAAAACACCAACAACAAATAGCGAAATATCAGTACTCTTTCAACCTGCTTCATATGAAATAAAACAATCATACTGCATCTATCCACTGGAACAACAACATAACCCAACCAACGGAAAAACTACAAAAAAAAATCAATTCGAACATACCGAAACCAACCAGAGCAATATCACTTATTCAATAACGATCATCAGCAGAATAATGCTTTATTATTTAATTCTTCTATTACAATTTTAGAAATAATCTTGTAAATTCTTGAAGATTTTATAATTTGTTTTGAATTTTCGTTTAAGAATAATTCAGAATAATTAAGCCATCTGATGAGACCCTTTAGCAAGGTCGAAACTAGTCATGGCAGCTTATTCACACCCACACCCCAAATTTTACCGTACACGATATGATAGAAGAGAAAAGCATAACTGTATCTGTATATGAACGTACCTTAATCTCTGCATTGCTATACTGAATGAGAGATTGTTTTTCATTTCAGAAAAGCAAACATATATTTAGGATATTTTTTAGATTAGTATTTTTATCTAAAAAAATGTCAATTGAAAAAAATACGAAGATTTATTTACACTTGTTTAACTTGAAGATTCATGTGATGAAGCACAATTTGAAATGAAGAAGTTTATAAATAAATTTGCAAATTCGAATGAATTAAAAGAATATATTATCGATAAACCAAATGCTTCAATCATTGTTATTATCTCGGATAGTATTCCATTAGATGGTACATCTTTCGTTGATTCACCTCAGACCTGTGCGATTTATAATCCGAAGCTTGTCTGTTTGTACTGTCTGTCGAAAATGTTTTCAACTGTTGATAAATATTTGAAGAATCAACAGGAGAAAACAAAAAAGACATCAGATTAATCATGTATAGCTAAAATATTGTCAATTGATCGAAAATATTGATTTCTTATTGACTTGGTTTTTTCAATCTGTATGGCATATATTTTTCCAAATCTAGACAAAATGGGTGGTCATATTCGTTCCAAACGGACTGTAAAATATGCCTGCGTGATATCAGTTTTCTTTCTTAGTGGTTTATCTCTGCGAACAAGGCAACTTGCGAAAGAAATTCTTCATAGTCTTACTCAAATCTACAGCCTAATAGTCGTTCTATTTTTAGTTTATTATTTAACACTATTTTTATTAAATACGTCTATGAATAAAACATTGATTTTTGGTATGATTATAATGGCTTCAACGTTTATAACAATTGCTAAAAATGTTATTATGACTAAGAATGATTTAGGCAATGAATATGCTGCATTATTAAATACAATAATTGGTAATATTTTAGGTATTTTTCTTTCACCAGCTATGATACTGTGGTTTATGAAAAATTAGATTATGGTCATGCTATTGAAACGTTAAGTTTAACTGTTTTACTTCGTTTATTTATTGGACAAGCAATTCATTTATTATGGATAAAAACAGTAATAGATATACGAAAAAAATTTTATTTTTCTGAATTGAGTAGTTTAATTTTGTTAACACTTGTATAGTCCGTACTTTCTACTTGTTGTTCTATGGGATCGTTTAAAACGATCGAAACACAAGATCATATAATTTATTGGCAATTTTCTGAAAAAGATTCTGCAGCAATTATGTTTTATAGTGCAAGTAAAACTTTAGCTATGGGAATTTCAGTAATCAATGCTTTATATGGTGATACAAATCAAGCTCTTACTGGTTTACTTTCACTACCATTGATAGTATATCATGCTGAACAATTAATTATCGGAAAATTGGATTAAAAATAAATTAAAAGATAATACGAATATTCCATCTAGTAATGAAAATGAAGTTAAAACAGACGAACTAGAAATCATAAATGCTGAATCTTAAATGTTAGCAGAAGCTTTTATCAGTTGTAGATGTTTAATTTTTATTGTCATTAATCTTCTTTTCTATCTTAAACGAATCTATAAAAATCATATCGATTTTATCAGCAATCGAGATTTCTTAAAATAGAATAAAATACTTCAATTACTGATTGCATACCGTTGATATCCTTATTCAACCTGCTCATTTCTTGTATTAATATATAAATGAAATATTCTTTGATTGAAGCACATTAAAATTTTAAAAAAGCTAGTATGATAGTGTTTTAGAAATGACACATACAACCAATCAGATTGCTTCGTGCTTGAAAAGAAATTTGTTTGTTTGTTAGGTCGGTCTTTTTGTCTGATTTCAATTTTTAAAATATGATCTATTTTATTATTGAAAATAATTTTGCTTATCTTTTCTTCTTAATAGATTAATTCATATCAAAGACAAAAATTGTAAATGATTATCTAAAAGAATCAAAACGAGTTGGTATTCAAACAGAATGAAAAAATATTCTAAGAAGTTATGCAGCAATGAGTTAAGTTTTATTTCTTTTAAAAAAATATATAAAATAAAATAATAAATGAACAATAGAAATTCATTTGATGAAAAAACAAATTCTTTTTTTCTTTTTTCTCTCTTTACGTTTCAGTTGAGCTTTCGACCTTAAGTCATCATCAGAACTATTTTTTGATATTCTTCATAATCTCTTTTTCCGGCATCACGATCTAACAAGTGATATAACATAGATCACCACGATCTAACATAGATGTTAACTATTATGATCACCACGATCTAATCTTGTCTTAATGAATTATTAAACTCCTTGCTGCATAACTTCTTATATTAGCAGACATTTAATCCATGTACTCAACAGAAAAAATATTTTTCAACAGATCTATAGAATCTGAACGTAAATTGCAATAGGATTACAGGCAAAAAAGTGAAACGTTGGGGAAAATTGTGCAATAGAAAAGAAAATAAGAAGGTAATATTTCTTTTTTTCTTTTTTGTCTTTCTGTTTCCTCTAATGGTGGTGGTTTGTTAAATAAAAATTCATGCAATGTCTTTGCAGTTCAATAGATGTCACATGATTCTGATACACGATTTTTCAAACGCAGATATGGTACAGAGATGTGCGCCGCGCCTAAAAACCGAGGCGGGGGCGGCGCGGAGGACTGCACAAGTTACAAAATCTTGGCGGACGCCGTCGTCGCCAAGGAGACTTTTTGATGGGCGGCGCGGCCGCCCATGCTCTCTTTATTAAAGAGGCGAGCCTGATAGGCGGCCGCGCCTCATGGGAACTGGAAAAATCCATTATAGCAATTTTTTTCAAACTTATTTCACTGTAATATTAGTCAACACATAAAGGTCCACTTATTAACACTCAAATATAGACAAAAACATAAAACTGAAATGTTCATGACAGAATATCATGTTTAGCAAGATTTAACTAGATATTTACCACTAATATGGCACTAGTTTCCGTCATAATTTATTTTACACTTGAATTGACATAAATTCAAGTCTAGAGTAGAGTACTGCAACCCGGCCGGGTACCCGAAACCGAACCAGACCTGGATATGGGTCCGGGTCGAATTCGCCAGGTTGATTCGGGCGCCGGGTAGAAAAAGTATTCCGGTTCGGTTCCGGGTATGATCTCACACCTGGACCCGACCCTTGAACTACTTATGACACCTGAAATTTTCGAAATGAACAGCTGCCACGACCGGTTTCGACCTTGCTGAAGGGTCTCATCAGGTGGCATAGATCAATTCCAACTTGACTAACGAGGGAAGGTCCCTGGGTGTTTCTCTGGGATTTCGATGAAACCTATGTGGGTTTGTAAAGTCAAGTGTTAATATCTCAAATATAGCAAAATTAGCGGCTGAGATTAATCCGTTGCAAAATTTCGAATAAAAACATTTTTCGCTTAGAACCCTGAGGGAGAACACAGGTGAAATTTTTACACTAAAAAAAGTTGACAAAAAATTGAAATACTGATGAGTCGGCTCCGTTTTTTAACGCTGATTCTAAATATGTTATTGGTTTTCACTAATGCTGTACTTCTCTCACCGAAAATTGCCAATTATTTGTCAAAAAAAACTAGAAAATGGTATCGTAACATTAGTCTTTCAGGAAGTTCGTAAATTACGAATAATTTTGTAGTTTAAAAGCTGCATGGTTTTATAGCATTTCAAAAGCTCTATCGATTGATTTACGGAGAATTACATGAACCGAATGATGTGATTCTCTATCGGCCATCAAACAACTAGCAGAACAGAATTTTCATTTAATTTACCACCGATCGACAATCAAATGACAAATAAGAGACATGAATAAACTTTTCTCGATAAACTTATGTTGAAATGAATCTATCTAAAATTTCATGCTCCATCCAATGATGCACAATGCCGGCGTGCCCAGTGTAAGATTCGATTGAGAAATCACCCAACCCATATCGGTCGCTACGAAACGTGGTGGGTGTGAAAGGAAAAGTAAGGAAGACGGGTCGTAGCAAAGAAGATAATGTTAATTGTAAGATATTTTCTGCGGCATAAGTATTTTCTACTTGATAAAGTGGGGATATTTACATGGGTGACAGTGACAAAATAGATGACTAAAGAAAGAAAGAAAGGATGTCGGCCTAGTTTATAGACATACATATATATAAAACAATCAAAGTGTGCGTATCAAGTCTTGCGGGCGAGTTGAGTTTTCTTCGTGCCTTTGTCACACGGTTCTATTCATATATTGAGATGAATAGTAATAAATCACATTTTTGTGAAACACGACCTGAAAGGAGTGTTGAAGTGTTTAGGGTGGAAATTTGCACCCACCACCCCCTCCCCCCTCAGACCGTTACAGATCGGCGCAAAAAAGTTCACGAGTTAAGAGAATAATTTGAATACCTTCCACAGACGTTTTAATTAATTAGCTAATTACAGTCTTATTAATGAATTAGCCTTCACAGACCTTGAGAGACAGGCTTTGGATTCATCACAAACGTTATTAGAAGTACAGGAAGGATAGAGAGGTGGGGCTATGGCTATGATAGACCTTGATAGACACCTCTAGATGTCATCGTAGACTGTGATGGACCCTATCATCGTACAAGCAAGTGCCAGATAGCGCTAGAATATCAATAGAATTGATCAGCTGATACCGTTTTCCACTTGTAGATGATGCATTTAAGCATAACGAAAGAAAGAGTCCAGAAATAGATAGAAGAATACTCTTTTGTTATAAGATTAACAGTTACGTCGTGTTTCACATTTTAATCCCGAAGGGATTGCGCTAACAGCTTTTTTATTAAGCTTTCTTAGGATTTCCTGCTGTGTGCGTAAAACGTTGTAGATCGAAGACTTTCCTATTCACTTCCATGAGCTCATACTAAACGATTCAAAGGTGTAATCACGTTTTCATGAAAATTAATAAATATTAACAATATCCTAAATTTACATTCGTAAAAAATTGTGAAGTATTTTGCTGATATATTTTCACAACGCCACCACATGGATCTCGGGATGCTTTCATGGAATGGAGCATTGAATTCTANTAGATAGATTCATTTCAACATAAGTTTATCGAGAAAAGTTTATTCATGTCTCTTATTTGTCATTTGATTGTCGATCGGTGGTAAATTAAATGAAAATTCTGTTCTGCTAGTTGTTTGATGGCCGATAGAGAATCACATCATTCGGTTCATGTAATTCTCCGTAAATCAATCGATAGAGCTTTTGAAATGCTATAAAACCATGCAGCTTTTAAACTACAAAATTATTCGTAATTTACGAACTTCCTGAAAGACTAATGTTACGATACCATTTTCTAGTTTTTTTTGACAAATAATTGGCAATTTTCGGTGAGAGAAGTACAGCATTAGTGAAAACCAATAACATATTTAGAATCAGCGTTAAAAAACGGAGCCGACTCATCAGTATTTCAATTTTTTGTCAACTTTTTTTAGTGTAAAAATTTCACCTGTGTTCTCCCTCAGGGTTCTAAGCGAAAAATGTTTTTATTCGAAATTTTGCAACGGATTAATCTCAGCCGCTAATTTTGCTATATTTGAGATATTAACACTTGACTTTACAAACCCACATAGGTTTCATCGAAATCCCAAAGAAACACCCAGGGACCTTTCCTCGTAAGTATGCGAATACTACTGTGACTGGAAAAATGGTAATAGGTATTCATATACCATATTATGTTCTATCGTAGTTGACAAATATAAACATCATTTATCAATAGAAAGAGTTTTATGAACAAAAATGCCCGACTTTGACTTTTTCTTATTGCATACAATTTTCGACTCAAACATGGAATCAAGATTAAGTGTCCCTGTCAATCAAATAGTTGAATATAACTTTGGAGGATGTCATTATATTTGAAGTCGGATATTATTAGATATCGAATATCCTAGTATTATTAAATATCAACAGTAATGGAAAGAAAATATAAAAATTGCAACAATTATGACGCTTAAGAAAATTCAGTGATCACATAGTACATGTTCAATTTACTCTAACATGATAATTACAACAGGTGTAAAATAAGTGATCACATGCGTGCTGCTGAGTGCTATAAGACGCATACCTTTTTCATGTAGTCCATAGATGAAAAATTGGTTAGGACGTTTTTCTCACGAGAAAAACATAATAGGAGAACAAAATAATGCTGCTACGGTTCATACGGCTCTTTCTAACAAAAATTCAGTTTCTTTTCTGTTAGCTCTCATATGTATAGAACGAAAGATACAAGCAGTGTCACTGATGTTATGTGACAGAACGATGAAAAAGATGACCTTCATGGGAATCGAACCCATACCTCCTGCTATCCGGGCAGTTGCCCTAAGCCGATTAGACTAGAAGGCGCATCTTAATCATCGCTTAGCGCCCAAGTGATCCATCATGGACGCTAA